TATTTTCACTATCAGTGCAATTGGGGCTCCATGTAACACATCTTGATGTAAAAACTGCTTTCCTCAATGGTGACCTAGAGGAAACCATATATATGTATAAACCAGACTGTTATAATATTCCAGGTAGTAATAATAAAGTGTTAAAACTTAAGAAAGCCATTTATGGTTTGAAGCAGGCCTCTAGGGCCTGGAATGAGAAATTAGATAGGTGTTTGCTTGAAAGTGGTTACAAGAAATCTAAACTTGAACCGTGCATTTATACAAGGAACATTGATAATCATAAAACTATTGTTGCAGTTTATGTTGATGATTTTTTTATTTTTAGTAATGATGACAAGGAATGTTTAGACCTTAAGAATACATTGTCAAACAAGTTTACAATAAAAGACCTAGGACAAGTGAAACAATGTCTGGGAGTGAATATAAAGTTTGATAAGTCTGAAGGTTCTGTAACCTTAAGTCAAGAAAATTATATTGATAGTTTGTTACATAAATTTAACTTGACAGATTGTAAGACTTGTGATACTCCAATGGAGACTAAGCTTAATGTAAACATAGGTCAGAATGTAAATGATAAAGTGCCATTTAGACAGCTTATAGGTAGCCTAATGTATTTATCAGTTTTAACTAGACCAGACATAACCTATGCTGTCAGTTATCTTAGTCAGTTTAATAATAGTCACACAGATGAGCATTGGGGTTATGCCAAGAGAATATTAAAATATTTAAAAAAAACTAAATCATATGGCATTAAATATTGTAGAAATGGTAATTCTGTAATAAAAGGTTTTGTGGATGCTGATTGGGCAAATAATACTTTAGATAGAAGATCTTACACTGGATTTTGTTTCTTGTTATCAAATGGTGTAATTTCTTGGGAGTGTAAGAAGCAAAAAACAGTAGCTCTATCTAGTTGTGAGGCTGAGTATATGGGGATTTCAGAAGCTTGTAAAGAAGCCATATATTTAAGAGCATTGCAGTTTGAAATAACAGATAAAATGTACACTTTGGATTTATATAATGACAATCAGAGTGCACAAAAACTGTCGAGAAATCCTGTGCTACATAAGCAATCAAAACATATTGATGTTAAGTATCATTTTGCTCGAGAGTGTGTATCAAATAATATTGTAAAATTACATTATTTGCCGACCGATAACATGCCTGCTGATTTGCTCACCAAAAGTTTATGTTCAAAGAAACATTATATGTTTATGAAAATGTTAGGTGTGGTTAGTGTATGAATGATTGTTTTGTAAAATGGTACTTATTGTGTTTCTATGATTATTTGAGATAGTGGGGGTGTTAAATTGGATCTCAGCATACTCATTTGTATTAAATCTCTTTGGTCTTACGAGAATATAACGAATTACTGTGTTGTCTATGTTTATTAAAAAGAATAAAGTTGTTTTAGTTTTGTTTCCGAATCACAACTTCGTTGTTTCATTATAGTAACTATCTGTTATCAAACATATTGGGTACATTTAGTTTAGAACATTCAGAAGGTGCACGTAACAATTATTATACCTTAATTCGTTTTTTAAAACTGCATAGGCATATTTTAAATGTGAAAGGTTACACAATGAGTTTTAATCGTGAACTGTTTTTTTTCTTTTTAAAATCGCAATCATAATCTAATTTATTATACTAAGACATTCTAAACTAAATTAATAACAAATCAATTGAACTTACATTTAGTTGAATTAGAAAACCTTGATGTGGTTCTACTGGGGGACGGTGGTTTCTCTTTTATGTCAGCTACCACGGCTCTATTTGCTGTTTTCGCAGGATGTGGCTTTTTATTCTTAGCTAAAACACAAATACAATAAAATTATTGAGTTATAAGTTAACTCAAACATACTAGGACACATATTCTCTTTTACATATATATTTTCTTCAGACAATAGGCAATAAAGCAATAATTATAGCAAATGAGTTTATGAACAAAAATATTTAAAGAAAAATAAATATTGAGAGGACAGAATTATTGCAGGAACATATGGTAGTAACAAAAAGAAATTTATTGGTGACTGATCAATAGCATACATAGTATAAATGTATTACCGATACTTCAAATTCAGAAACCAATAACTAGTTATTCAACTTTCTAGAATATTTGATCAAACACTACAAGCATTGATTTCAATCTGCATTCATTGCCATAGTTTAATATACGAATTACATGTAGGTACTGTGTTGTGTATCAAAATAAATATCTTCAAGCAACAAATTATTTCCATGATTCTGCAATTAAAGTGTCAGCAAACATCTAATATTGTGCGCAAAGCAAACTTTTTATAACAGTAAATGAGTATTAGGTGTAGAATGCATAATATTTTTTGTAACCTTTGGTACGGAACATAGATCTATGCGAGACAATGTATTTTATTTTGTGTCATATATACTAGCACTTTACGAGGTTAAATAATAACTTCACTTCTGTCCTTAATTGGGTTTCTCCAAACATGATACAAATGTAATGTTATAAAGCTTATGATCTGTAATGCTCCACTTAGCATAACTAATTACTTTATCATGTTTGGTTTATGATTAATTGGTCCAGTTAAAAATATGTTACATATAGTATAGAGGTAGTGCTTCAACACAGCTAATACAACATGACAAACTCTTTGGATGAGCAAATTGGGACAATTTTACTCAGAAGTTTAGATGAACTTCTAACCTTCTTAGGTTGGTGAGCCAACAGATAAATATTTTTATTTCTCTTATTTAAAGTACTACCTTATTTAAAATAAAAAAAAAACAAAAATTACATGATATTTCATAGCATTTTGTGGCATAACGAGCAGAGCAAATAATACTATTCCTATTTAAAATATAGCAAAGCAAATAAATCGCAAAATAATAAATAATAATTGCTTATTAATAAACAGTGTAATGATAATAAAGTGCAACAAATACTAACAAAATTTAGGGTGAAGGTCATTCTCATCATCTTCAGTGATAGTGACAATTTTTCTATTTGTGTAATTCGGGGCAGCTGGAGTAGCCATCATCCTGGGTGGACCAGTCAAATGTGACTTCAACGAACTATTTCCAGTCAGTAGACCATCATCATCTTCAAGTGTGATGATGCGTCTTAATCTTGGCTGAAGTGTGTAGCTGTGTGCGGGCCATGACACTGTGGGTAGCAAACATTGGATTCACAACAACTTCTAGTATACCAAATTGGATAAATCCTAGGAAATATGCATTAAAGACTAGTTATGAAACACAAACACTTGTGCAAATATTGTTTTCTGAAAAAAATTGACTGCAACCTTTGAGTACCAATATTATGTGGACTATGTGGAGTATATAAAGATATACTCCACTAAATAAGGAGAATATAAAGATGAGCACAAAGTCCAACCTACAATCAATGTAAAACAAGAGGTTAGCAAGTACCTATGTGAGTAGCTGCTAGAGAAACATTTATTATTTATTTATTTACTTTCAGCCATGATCGTCCCACTGCAAGGCAAAGGCCTCCCTACCCTCCTTCCACTCCTCTCTATGTAAAGCTTTTTGCGGCCAATCCTTGTCATTAAACTGTCAAACACCAAGCGGTTACCGGTGACCGCAACCTATTGTTCTATAATTGTGTCTACAAAACCGGTACTCGACAAGTTAATGTCAAAGTGAATTATTATAGTTATTTATCACATAAGATAATTCTCTAATTATTATATAACATACAAAATAATTCTTAATAATTCTAAATACCTACTGTAGAATAGCATTAAAATGACTTTAATTTAATCTCAGAATGACAATACATGAAACTTTGGATATTTTTATCAATAGTTGGATAGAGTAAACCAAAAGTAAATCTGTGGGTTTATTCACAACCTAACCACAAATATTGTGTGAAGTTAGACAAATACTGTGACTTGCTTGTATAATCTCTAATTAATAATCTCTAATCTTCAAAACATATTATAGCATTTAAAAGTAAGCTGAGCTACTTCACTTTTAGCAAGTCATGAAAACAGTACATGATAATTGCCTTTTAGATTAAGGTTCTTAATTGACATTGTTTATCTGGAAATTAACTACCAAGACATTAGTATTTCAACTCACAGTACATTTATGAAAAAGCATGTAATATTAGATACTGTGTCATACATGACCACCGACCAAGGCTACATTTTTCTGCAACTTTTTGTTTGTATTGTTCACTGCCACACTTGGAGTATTTGCAATAATAAAGTGCCTGCTTTAATTATTAAGCCAAACAAAGACATTCACAGCTTGCATTATATAAAAGAACGCGAAGAGAAGAAAGAAAGTGCGTGACTAGCCAGACGATGGTCATACATCATGGTAAACCATGAAAAAAAAACAACAATAACTGCCTCACCTTTGGAGTCAAAATCAAAATCTGGAAGCTTCGTGTACTTAGTAACTGTGCTCTTTTGCATTGGTGCGGCGTAATTGCTGTCGTCTATTTTTAAAAAGAAACCATACATATTGCTAATATCGGCATCTGGTTTTGTTGATGCCGATGCATCCATTATAAAGTGAACACTAGAAAATTTGTGCATAAATTACGGTGTCGACCATTTTACTTGTTATTCGAAAATAATAGATAAGCGCAAACACCAGCACAGTGTTGTTAGGGTTAATTTTGCTAGTTTCTATCACATTTTTCAATTTTATTTGTTGCACGAAGATTTTTTCTGAAGTAATCAAGTAATAGTTGCTTGTCAATAAATTTTAAACAACTTTTGCTCTATGGTTATTAGTCTATGCTGACATAGACAAGAAAACCACAGATGTTGAATCTTTAGGATTTTTAATATTTTTGGTGCATTCATAACAAGACTCTTGTACGAATAGATTTATCAGTATTTTTCATCATTACTAAATGTATATAATCATTAATATAAGGGTTATGAATATCAAAGTGTTATATAATCATCAGTTAAAACTCTATGACTGTACAAATCAATTAAAACCATAAACACATAGAGCAGCTATCAAAGCAAAATATATCTATGTCGCTCTACCAATCTCTTCTACCTACTTATTTCGTGCATTGTGCGATTCATGGAAGTAGTGGAGTAAAATCAATCTTTGTTTGTTTAACAAAATCCAATTTTAGTTCCCTATTTAGAAATTGGTACTGTGTTCGTGAACGTAAATACTCTAAATTACCTACCTTTAATAGCCTAGAGATTTTTTCAATAGTCAAGTTATATAGATCGTGCGTAGCAGTAATAGCAATCTCTGTGGTTTTACAGGCAGGGAACTCGGTGGTCACTGTTGACGAAAAAATGTGTCCTTATTCATTTGCGAATGGAAAATATTGGTCTTAATTGTATTCCTGTTTGAGACGCGACGATGCAATCTCTGGCTTTCCATCATAGATTCAAAAGATAGTGCTATACGGGACAATGAATATTGCTAAAATTGATGAAATTTGGTGTGTTGCGTAGAAGAACTTTGTCGTAAAGGATTCGTAATAAAATAAACTGTGAGTAATACGTTTATTAATATCGGTTGGCTACTTTTCATTACATATGAATTGATGAAGAAAAGTATTTTAATACTTTATGCAGTAGGTACCTATATTGATTCAAGTAGAAGCAGCTGTAAGTGTTGTTGGTTGTTACTTCTTACCTTCCTGATGTTCTTTCTTATGGAATATGTGTCATGTTGGGTGTGTAGTTATGTCAATACTAATTTATACTCTTGTTGTATAAATCTAGTTATTTTAATGTTTTAAATTACTGAACATGGATATGTGATTTTACATATACATTGTAATGAGCTGGATTTATGTTTTTATGTTTGATGTGTCAAAGAGTATGTGGCATCATAGGCATCAAGAAGTACTTGCAAGGTTGGTAAAAAAGTAAAAAAAACTGAAATATGCAGGTAGGTCTTATGTTAGTTATTCAGAACTATGATAACAAAAGCTGTTTCACAACATTAATATAACTATGCATATGCAGCTGTAATAGTTATTGTGGTTCTTCCATAGAAATATTGTGTTCTTGGTTTACAAGTTGAGTGTTCAACAGTATCAACCTGATGAGTGTATTCAGTATCTGAGATCCAGCATGCATGAACCATCGCCTGTTGTATTAATGTTTCATATAAATGTGAGATGTAGATTGTTGTTTTCATTGTCTGGTATTCATAGTTTTAGTCTATAAATAAGTTATTAACCAAATTAATGAAACATTCGGCCGGTTGATTGTTTAATATTCTTCTACCTTAAGATATTTTCTTAATAGGTAACTAATTAGTAATTTTTGTTTTGTTTAAGTTGGTTGTAATATTTACGTAAGTAAAGAAATAATTAATGTGAAAGCATTTTATGCCAGCTAAGAAATTCTCATAATATGTCAGGATTCCAACAAGTATAAACTTGCATTCCAATAATGACATACAATTAGAAGTTCATAGAGAAAACAATAAATTATGTGCAATGTTGCCAACCTTGAAAATGTTTATATAGTAAACATTTGGGAAAATATAAACTAACTCTACTTTTCTTTTAAACTGTCAAACACCGAGCGGTTACCGGTGAATGCAACCTATTGTTCTTTAACTCGTTGAGTACCGTTTTTGTAGACACAATTATAGAACAATAGGTTGCGGTCACCGGTGACCACTTGGTGTTCGACAGTTTAATTGTGTCTATAATGACGGTATTCAACGAGTTAACCACTATATTATTATTTCCAAACAAAATATTTAAAAATATTTTTATGTTTGATTAATTTTATATAATGAAAGATATTTTTAGTAATACATAAAACTTTGTAACAAAAAGATAATAAGTATCTAAATGTTATTAGATATCTTTTATTTGAAGACAGAGCGTAATGATTTTAATAGCTAACAATAAGTATAAGAAACATATAAGAGTCCGGATTATATTGTAGTGTGACAGTGCCTAAATAAAGCACGCAAATATCAAACAAAAAAACTGAAATATGCATAAAAATATGCACTAAAAATGTTTCATGCAGAACAAAGATTTAGGTATGAAGAAATATTTTTAGGATGGATTAGACAGTAAACTGAAGTTTACTGTCCAATCCATCCTAAAAACTGTTAACTGCTAGCTTTCTACACAAAAATAAGTTCAGTCAACTGTTGATTCCCTACTGATGCTGGTATATGATTTAAAATAAAATATACTAATGTATAAAATATAATCTGGTCTCTATTTATTAATAAAAAGAATTTAACAATCTGTGATATATGGGTAAATGTTACACTTACCTACATTTAAACTACTTTTATGAATGTTGCATCCATCCTATCATATAATTTAGACTTGCTACCTCAATATATAACCTAGTTATGTCATATAGACTCACCATAACCTTACACTATATACTACTTTCTTCATAGTTACCTAGTAATTTTACTAAACATTGTATGAAAGTGTAGTATGTGCAACCACGCTGAAATAGCGAAGTTGGCTTTCTGCTACTTAGGGATATAAACAAACAGGTTTAACACATGTTCTACTCCAACATAATGCTAATACCAAAAATTCGGTGCATCCATGTACCTTAGTCTGCTATAGCACATGGCTGACTCCGCCTTTGAATTGGTTGAAAAGGCAGAAACAGAAATTCCGATGACGAGTTTTCACGCACGACGATATCTAGACGTACTAGTTTTGTTTTTCTACTTTCGTTACCTAACAGTAGGAGATTTTACGCTTTTCATACGATTGGCGGGATAATCGGGGAATCCCGCTTTTTGCTGTTGCTCCAACTTTTTACGAGAACGGAATGCACCACAGACAATAAAAATAAAGACATCTGCATTTCGATATTGCTACTGTTGGAGGAAGCTAAGTTGCGTTTAGTTTTACGATGACGAAACTCAAAGATTTGGATGAATAAATGTGATCTGAAGAGGAATGAGTTGATGATGGTCAGAAAATAAAAGATGTTCAAGAGAATTCTGCAATTTTAAATAGCAAATATGCAGAAGTATACAATATGTAAAGAGAAATTATAAAAAATCAATCAGTATGATAAATGTTGATGGAATGCATGTACTTAGGATACAAGTGTCACCCCATTAAATTTTGCAAAAATATTTCAATTTTAATATATGATGGCACAGGTAATGTTGAGAGACATAATGAAAGGAAGGTAATAAAAATAATTTATAAAAGATAGGCTTCATTAATCAGGTGTATGACTTATGAGAATAGAAAAAAGTAAAGTTTGTATTATAATATCTACATAATCTATACTGCTTGACCCTTGTAGCACTATTAAATAGTAAATAAAATAATGAAACCATCGCTTATTAAGCACCTCCCTTTCGGCGGAAGAACAATCCGCCAACTGCAAATCTTGTACTCAAAACTTCCTCACGTAACCAGTAACAAAAACGACTATTATATTCTCCGAAAAAAAAGTCACAAATGCCATTCAATTATGTTCAATCCACATCAAAATTTAGATTTTGTTCCCGTTCATTATTTTTAATATGATTCCTTTTAATTTTCCCCCTTTATTTGAGAAAATTACAATTCCTTCCCCCACGATTGGCTACCACATGCATGATTTAAATTTTTTATTTACGTACATTTTTATTTATTTTATTTAGCTCAAAAATGGCGGTGAAAAAGCACGAACTGGTTCATGACAATCGAAATCAATTGGATCTGCTGGCATTGGAACAATACATTCAACTGATGAATGATCAGACAGACTATATGCCTCCACCACCTCAAGAACTCGTGAAAAATTGTCAGGACATTGTCAAATGTCTTGGTAAATATTTCCGCACTTTTGTCAATCTGATTGATCGTACCTTTATTTAAATTTAAAAATACAAACCACTATTGTTGTTGTGTCAAATGCTTGCAGCTCGTGCATCTGGCAATGAAGAGCAGATGTGGAGTCTGTTACAAACTGTGGAAGAATATTTGCTTCGAATTGTGAACACGGTTCACAGTAGTATTCGTCACGAAATTGTAACAGCAATTCTTGACAAATTCTACACGTTCATCTCCGATCCTCGTGAGTTTACAGTTATTATTTCTTGTAGATAATAAAATACCATGTTTTTTTTAAATTTAATATTGTAATCTTTTGGATATAAAGTTATTAGTTCATGAGCTGTTATTTTTGCAGAATCGGACGCTTATCCTGCCGCATCTGTGGTTCTTATCGTGCTAGACTGCTCAGACGCAGAGGGTAATTTGTCAGCAGCTCGCTGGCTAGTACAGCAGGGAGATAACGGTCCGGCAGGAGCAGGTCTGAGAGCTTCTTTGTCTTGCCTCTATTGCTGGTTACACGAGTGGCACGGTACTCCTGCATTAGGAGATTGGGTTTTGGCTTTTATAAAAGCCTTAGAGGTGAGAGAGATGAACCTAGTAAACGTTATGCTAGATCGACGTAATTACTAATGTTGTTGTTTAATTTTTTGCACAGGAAAATGAACGCTTTGACATCTTGATTGAGGTATCGGTAGATAACTTGGGTCGCCTTTTCTTAGCTTTGAATGACCCTGTAACACTCCGACAGTCTGTAGCCGAGGTCATTTTCCACGTGTTGGCGTCACTTCGCGAATCTACTGAGGCTTTTGATAGGGTAAAGTAGTTTCAATATAATTATTTTGTTCATGCTCAATATTTCGGATCTGTACATAATTATTTGACTGTTTTGAATTTATCTTTAGATTGCACCCCACGTTGGTCGTGTTTTGGCTAATCTTGCCAACGATAGCGGTCAGTGGAGCCGTCAGCTTCTACAAAACGTGGTTGACATTTTAACAGCTACAGTCGACGGACATGTCGATGCTTTAAAAGGCGATGCTCAGGATATGTTTAAAGACAAATATGATGATGTGGTAAGTAAAATTCTAAAACATCAAGTAATAAAACCATCATTTGTATACTATGTGAAAATTAAATTGTGTTAACTCGTCGAGTACCGGTTTTGTAGACACAATTATAGAACAATAGGTTGCGGTCACCGGTGACCGCTTGGTATTTGACAGTTTAATTGTTGCATTTACAATGAATCCAACCCAACATCAGTCTGTTCAGGCATACAAAGCTATTTCTATCACCGATCAATGTTCACGGCATCGCTCGGCCTTGTAGTTTATCTTAGCTAGCGCGATCAATATCGACAACTATTCTAACCTATTCAATAAGAGTAAGGTATAAATACCTGAAAGTAGAAAGAAATCTTACAAGAACCACCATAAGTTCGTACTTCATTTTATTTCACAATACTCTTGTGCGTGTGAGCAAATTCCACCCCTCGGCCCTTATCGGGGACGCTCGGCGCTTTTCGGGCCTGTAAGCGCGCTGTAGTTGATATCAGGCCGTAGTCGCGGCCGGACAGAGGCACCGTTGGCGCAGACAAAATGCCAACCCGAGCTGAAACGTTACGAAGTCGCGGGAGACGTGTCGGCATGGATAACACTAGTGATGTACTTATCATAATTTTCTGTAAACGTATACATTAGTCTCATAGACAATTCGCTAAAATAATATACATGATTTCGAATTAATTCAGAAACTATTTTATTATTAATCGTATCCCATGTTAGCATAGTGTTTATGTGAAGGTAATAATGGTTTGTTGCTTTTTTTCCTGTAGATTTTATGCTTGGAACGACATATGGCCTCTCGTGGTTGCCGCTATCTGCAGCAACACCCTTGGCGCGCTCGTAACGTTTGCTTGACCAGTGTAAGCACACACGCACCAATGAGGAAAGTGGGGCTCCTGAATCTTGGCAACACCTGCTACATGAACAGCGTCATGCAGGCTCTGCTTGTCACCAGACAGTAAGTACTCGTTCTTGTTTTATCGTTACTTACCTCTAAACTGATATGATATTAAGTATACCGTGTGCACAAGTATCTAATCTCACTTTGTTTTTTATTATATAGATTTTACTTACACCTGAAAATAGTAATTAGAAGTGAAATGTACAGTTTTAATTCAAACAATTTACTCCATTATCGCGGAGCTACGAGTTACACTTTTATAGGCAAAAACAAATAGCTGTCTCTACATTTAAACATGAAACAGTTTTTGAATAATACAATTCCCATATTTAATATCGAACCGAGTGATTTCCATTTATTCCGAAGGCTTTTATTTAAATGTATGCTCCACGTAACTATTTTGGTTTTTCAACGAAACATTCATTTCATAAACAAAAATAATTAATTCAACTGGACAATACACATATTGGACGAAGAATTTAATTACAAGCTCGACTATTTTGTTTGATGAATATATATCGTGCGATAATAATGAGCTATATTCCTGGTATATCTGATATTGGACCTGAACTCATCAAGCTTCAACTTTCGCAAAGTTTTTACTAAAAGTACCTTATTTTCATCCGCTACTGCCTTTGAAATGTAATCTGTATATTTTGATGTACTTTGCCAGAGCGAATTCTGTTCTATTTCTATCCATGTCAGCGAAGTTTTGTGTCCAGATTAATTATTTTAACAAGTTGACTTGTATCCGATGTTAATTAACACATTTCTCCATTAAGCTTTTCGTTGTGTGCGGATACGTCGTTTAATTTGAAGTTCTAAGTTTGAACCAAAACTCGGCTCGTAGAAGGTTTGAGCATTGATCACCACCCTTGCTGTAAGCGGGTTAGCATTAAGTATTTTGACTCATTCACTTAAAAATTCTTAGTATTGGCAACCCGTCACAAATCATTTTCTTCAGGTGACTGAGACATATTATACAAGTTTTATACTGCTACTATTAATACGTACCTAATTACTAGTGCACAAGTGATCCTAACGTGATAAGTAGGTACACGGGAACCCCTCGACCTCGTGGCATTTATTGAATGTAAGTGATGACTGACTCGGTCGGGCGCCCGTACCTACCAAAGCCGTGTTCGAACTGTAGGGTTAATTCCCAGGTCAGAAAATTATTATTTACTTGATTTTGCGATTGTTAATATGTTACAAATAACAACAAATGAAGAGAAGTGCCTTAACTTACATCTTCAGCCGTGAAGCGATTCACATAATTGATAACTGAATGTACAATTAGTGCAACTTGAGCATCAAACACAGCCTCGAGTTTTTTGTAAAAAAAAAGACTGTAAAACAATTGACACCAAATTTTCGATTTTGCAATTCTTATCAAGAGTCGAAGGTTTGTCGTTCTGTGATTGATATTCCTGTGCATTTATAAATGTTTGTTGGCGTCATCTCCCCGTCCGTTTATGTAAAACCGACTGGCCTCTTTGCCCGCATAGTAAAGAGTAGGTCCAGCCAGAACGCCGTTGTCCAATGTTTTCGAACAATTTTTAACTAATGACCTGTTTTGATTGGAAATGTTTGTTTCTAACATAACGCATTACATTGGTAGAAGGGATAAAATGATCAATTTAATTTACCGAATTAATGCGAAGTACCATAGTAATATATTTCTACGTACCTATCTGCGAAAAACTTTTGCGTCTTGCATGTTTAATAAATGATCCAAACCTATATTTAATCACGGCAACTGCATTACTGAAATACTTTAAAGTATTTGTACTGTAATGTGTTCTTTTCTCTGACCTGGCATAAAAAAAAAATACTTTCTAAAGTAGTAGTAATATGTGTCTTTATGGAAACTCTCGTGTCAAAAGTTTGGCGGTTTCAGACCCCCACTTCTCATGTATAAAGTGTAGGTTGGAAATGGAACAGACCTGGCAAGTACCTACCAACGTGATCTTTTCCGAATCATATGTACTTTATAAGATTATTTAGACACTACGGCGAAGCAAAACATCGTGAGGAAACCTGAACTTATTTCTAATTATAAGTTTAGTAATTTTTTAATTAGTAATAATTAATTGTCGACCCGTACTGAGCAAGCGTGCTGATTAATGCTCAAACCTTCTCCATGTAAGAAGCCTTTGCTCATCAGTGGATATTTTATGCTGATGATGATGATACTCTCATGTATGTCATATACCTATTACGTCCATTGTTATTATTTCCCGAAAAATATACGCCAGGGTGTCCATCTTCTGCCTACGCCTTCGGGGATAAAAGGCGTTATGTTATGTTCTGTTGTGTTACTGATCATATACAATCATGAGATAAATGTTAGTAATTAAATCTTTAATAGCCTGTCAATATTTGTAACACAACAAAGGCTTTGAGAGAAAGCAATTTACCACATGAAACCTAACTATCTTCACAAGGTACCAACTTCATGTACACACAAAGCACGAACATGGAGTTTCAATTATATTATCTAGCTTCAATAGAATACCACAGTTTTCATGTACCATATACAATATACCTAGTAGATAGTTCACCAGTTGATCGATAACGCTAGAAGTTTCGAGAAATTGCAAAGCTGGAATTTTAGAGAATTTCAGCCTTTGAAAGCGTGCCTGTTGCGCTCTGAAGGGATTTAATACAGCTATATTGCAAACCGTTGCACATAGTTTCATTTCGTTGCATCGTACCAAGATACCTTCAACATCTTACAAACTACCTATTTATTGAAAAGTATTTTATCAACTACTTGCTTGATTTGGTACGAAATTCACTAACTCACAATTTATCATACTCTTTATTCTTATTTATAAAGAACTTTAAAAGACGCTGTTGAACAGTACCGTCAAAGCCATTTTACTTGTAAAGAAATATTCACTAAAGTTCTGGAATGAATCATTCACAAAAAAATTTTAGTATTCGTTTGAGAACAGAACAATTTTGAGTTGCGTTTAAGTATAATTTGTGGAATACAAATATCTTCAAAGACCTATTTGGGGTATTAAACTGTGAATGCAAACCAAACAACAACTATCCTGTATAATAGTCCGGGAACTTAAGTGTTGCTTCGAATCGATTTTATGTAGATAGTATTTAATTATCCGAAGAGAAATTGCATTTTGTAAAAAGAAAAGGATGACATTTTCTCGGTATTCAGTTACTAGCTGATTGAAATAGTAAATCGTTTACTTTGCCCGCCCTAATTGAATTTGAAAACATTTCCAAGTATCTTTAATATCCTTGGGCATTTTCCATTTATAAAACGTTAATGAAGAACTATAAACGGATCAACCTCGCAATGGTAGACAGACTTGGTTCTTAATTGCTTCATAGAAATATTTAAATCAAACCGCCATTCTATATTAAAATGGAAGTCCGTATGACAACGCGTCCTGTCCTGAAACGAAAGAGCTGTCACAGAGTTTCCGAATAATTGCATTAGTCACATTCACCGCGCTCGCTTTGCAGTATGAAAATATTTGTATGCAGTGTTTGGCGCATGGACCGACACAATTTTTCAGGGATTTGGGAGGTCATTAGCTACTTTTTATCATAAAACCGTTCGGCCCAAATGACATGGTTGGCCGCATACGATTTTTATATTGAAATGAAAACATTTCTCAAAATGTTTCCTTTAACTTGAAACTTTTTTGTTAGTGGTTCCAGTAGGCCAATATAAAATAAATGTGTTGTATACTTCAAACTTTATTAAACCTAAATACATCTTAGTTTGATTCAAATGGTTACAATATATGTATATAATAGTGTCTTACAAGCTTCCAAAGTTTAATTTTTCGTTCACTCGTCTGGAATATATTAATTTCTATAATTAATAAAAAACTAAAAGCTATTTTAAACTAGTTAGTACCCTTTCCAACAGTATGCAACAAGTCCCAGAAATTAATAATAATGTTGTTAAAATATGGGTTACTCCTTTGCCGTACCCGGATTTTTACGGGAACAACACACAACAATGGAGGAGCCAGTTATTATAAAAGACCGACTTCAAAACGGGAACTTAAAACGAACAAAATGAAATGGTAAAAACTAAAAAGCAAAACGTAAATATTTATCAATCACATGCAATGATGAAAATGAGAGTAAACAGCGCATGCAAGGAGCATACAATATAATCAACTATTTTAAAATAAATTAAAACAAACTACTTTGAATATTATACCTCTATAAATTGCGCAACATTCGTACCACCTTCAATTTGTTTCTTACATTTTTAACCTTCTCTGGACTCCACGAACATTTCAATATCAAAATTTGCCAAATCAGTTCAGCCGTTTTCAAGTTTTACAACCGACTTTGCCAGTTTTTAGAAATTTTTAGCGCTTCTTTGTTAATTTATCTTATATAAGAACCTTCTCTTAACAACAACAAACTCGACAAAAAAAGATATATAGCAAAATCAGTTCAGCGGTTCGAGAGATTTGCGCTTAGCAACATATTCAGTGATTCATATTATATTATATAATAACTGTTTTTATTTGATAAATCTAAGTAAAATAAGAATGCTTGCACCTTGCATAGAAACAATCGAATCTGTGTCCACGACACGGTATTTGACGAAAGCAGAAGGAAAGAAGAAAGAGAAAAAAGAAGGAAAATCTTAACAATGCAAAGATTTATTTCGTAAACAAAAGAATGTAAAAATATTTCTCTATGACGTTAGTAAAGAGCTACCCTACGTACGAAACGTTTATGTAACTTAACTTGCTCCATATTTATTTTCGAGAAATCTACTAAGGAAAGACGGAAATAGAATTGTATGACAAAACATTAGAAATGAGTACGATTTTGGTGAATGTAACACTATGTTTTTCTTTCTGCAGATTTAGCACTCACGTTGTGCTGAAGATGACCGCTATGCCGTATTGGGCGAAGATGGGCATCCTGTTCGGCAAGATGATGCACTCCATCACTACCAAACTGAACCCGGACGAGTTCTTTGCTGTGGTGAAGCCACCATTCTTCACCAGGGACAACCAACACGACAGCTCCGAGTTCTTGGGGTAAGATTGCCATTTCTATATCAGATCAAATTTAACTTCTTTTCAACCATACTTCTCAGTTTTGTACATCATCCGTGTCTAGCGAATTTGACCATATCTTCTAACGAACACATTTTTAGACGACCCTTTTCATACTGTCAGTCAAAACCCTACTCCATATAGTTATGGATAACTGTCGAAAATACATTAAATAATATTGTTTCTTTATGTTCTCTTTGTATACAAGTACTTACATATTTTCTTTGATCCTACAAGTTCGTAGCTCGGTGAGTTTTGTCTATGTGGAAAGTGGGCGTAGAAAGTACACTTGAGAGCAAAGAAAGGGAGCCACCAGCGATTTTTTTCTATTTAACCCGTAACTTAAAAAAATATTCCTTTAACAACCAAAATGCTCTCTTTTTAACATACCTACGTTACCAATTAATAAAATACTTGTATTAGAAAACATTTATCAGGGAGTTAAAAACAAAATACGCTAGTGGCTCCGTTTCTTTGCTCCCGAATGTACTGTCAACACTGGTTTTACCTAAATTGACAAAACCGGCCTTTATTAATTGCTTAACAACCAAGGAGGAGGAAACCTTGAGAAACAAAAATAGTAAAATCGATGCCATAACTTTGAGAGTTTTAAAGTGTTGTCTACGCGCAATTAAAGGGTTGGAATTTTTATATTTTGCGCGCCGTCGCTAAAAATTCCATACCTTAAATTACGGAATAATGTCAGTTGGTGGAGATTGTTTTAATAAAATCACGAGCATATCAAGCTATCCCTGTCTGTTAGATATTTTTTGAGAAAACGTAGAAAACTGTTCATAAGTCTAGCTAACATAATATTTTATTTCTGATGTTAGTTGTCTTGACTTCATCGAGACTGTTTCAGCTAACATCGTCGTTAACATAAATACATAGTACACACACACAGGACTTTCTCAAAGCGCCAAGTAAATCCGAAATGTACTACATATATAAAATCTGTTTGCAATATTGTCATGTCGATGACAACAAAGACCTTCTCGAACACGAACGAAAATTTCAAATTGAAATTTGTGTAAAATATACATGCTGGAACCGTTGATCCTTCACAATACTTCCAAAGCTTCAAGAAATATTGTTGAATATAACTGTAAAGCTCACTCGCTCTGATACAGGTACACAGACGGCATGGATTGAACTCTCTTCCCTTTGTGCAGATTATATCCATATAGATAACCATCTATTTTATACGGATAACGGATTACGGATACTTTCTTTAAAAGCTAGAATTATTGGTACTGTTTTCATTTATTTAGTCCGTCGTCCGGCAAATGATGAAAATGATAGTTACCTACTGATTTGAAGTTTTCATCTACGCCATTGTCGTAAAATGTATTCAACGATGCCGTCAGGTGATATTTCAAATCAATATATCATTAAAACCCTAAAAAAATTCGATTCTTTTATTAATTTACCAGACGAATACAAAAAAGCCTTATGCCAGTTCACAACTTTAAAGGAAAAGAATCCTTATGACAGTGCTAATTAGTTTGAAACCCTAGTTCTATTCACTTATTTGTTTTAAACCGACGTTAGTAGATCTGAAATCTCGAGTTGAAAAGCTATTGTCTTTAGTAGTTTCCAGGAATTTCAGTTCCGTTCCGTAACTTTGAGTACGTTGAGAGCACAGGTAAGCTTTCATGCGACTGCGTTAACTCACTTGACATTATCGTGAAATATTCTGAAGCTCTGGGATTGTGGCTGCCGCTGTTAACTCGTGGAGTCGTGCTTATGCTATAAATACTACTTAATCCACCTATATCGAATTTTGAATCACTGGCCTATTTACTTCATTTGATGAAGTGACAGGAATTATTAAAATTCAAACTGTTATTTCAGATATAAAACGTATATTCAAGTTACAATAAGGACATAACGTTTTGTCATCTACTAGTCACTAGCATGCAAGCTTTGATTGTTTCTGAGCGGTGCATTGTTAGCAGTCGGAGACGGTTCATTTTCTTGTCAAAGGGTATTTCCTGCCAGCTACGAGCGACAAACACAATGTCGTCTTTAACAAGACTATACACCAGATTGTAGACTGAAACCATTGCTCTAATGTACAATTGTACCTGGCAATATTAATTAAGACGAGCTAATTAGCGCGAGGCTTCTTAGGCAGCCCTAAAATGTCGTTGGAATATATTTTGTTTCTGTTTGATATTTTTTTGTTTATTCATTCATATATGTATGGGAATTAAACTAGTTCGTGTATACTTTGACAATATTATACTACTTATGTGTTTGTCTCATATAATAATTAGGCAGATTCTACAGAAATTACATATTAGGTACATATGTTATAGTATAACATTTCGTAAGATAAACACGCGAAAATGTCCAAAAGAGCCTGATATTTTTTTAGTAAGTTCTGTTCCTAGTACTAATACTAATATTACGAACAACTTCAAATCAACTTCAAGCATACGAAAAGTTAATATCTAACTAAACAAGGAGAACTGTAATAGGAGAAATATAAATAAGAACTGAAATCGACGTGCAACAGCAGACACGAATATTTTCCTCATTAAAAGTCTTATTTGAGCTCAGATAACATAAACTTCAACGGAAACTTCTATACACGCTACATTACTTGAAGCAGAATTATTAAGTTTGAATACATATTATCAATACTTTAAGACCCGAGATTATTCTAGGAATTGTCTAAATGTACAAATCCTTCGAATGTTTCGAAACGGAAAAAGGGAAAAATCGAAAATTGCTTTGAATATACATTTCGCATTTTCCCGGTCCGACCCACGCTTGTCGAGATTGATCTGTAGGTGAATGACCGTATTCAACATGTCGAAACTTATCCAAGTTGACGTAATGTCGTCGAACCTCGGTACTTGTAAATTGTATCTCTCTCCATAAAATATAATAGTTTGACGAATTTTAAATTATGTTATGTTGGGGGTAAACTATTTAAATAGACACGTATTATAGAAAATCATTTAAACAAAAGGTAATTTAATAGTTTTTCTTACTCTTAAGGATTGGAATAAAATATTATGTTAAGTAATATTTCGAAAACAAATTCTAATACTTGTTTTTGATAATTTATAAAGTACATGTAAATTTTTTAAGACTAAAAGTTCCAAAGTAAGCTTTTCTGTTCAAGCCAAGAAGAAAACGTCAAGTTAAAAGCGCTTCATAAGTTTGTATCTTAAGTGTACCGGGTTGGAAACTCACGTCACAGTCAAGATGAAGTTACTGAATGCAAATGCTGCTATATAATTACATACGTGCATACCCAAGTTATGTATCCGTACCTTTATACATACAATCGCGTGCATAGAACGTACCGGGCGAACATGCGCACTGCCGCTGGAAACTGTTTGACCTATTTCCCATAGTAAATACTTTAGCTCGAGTTTATAGATTTTAGTCGGACTGAATGCATCTTAGTTAGACCTTACAGGATTTTGATGAAGACTCTTCTCTACTTTTTGAAAGGCTGATTTTTTATGTTATTCTGAGTTCATATCCTTTGCCAGTATCTGTGCTTCCTGAAGGGTATAACTTGGGGGTCTTCAAACTTCAAACCCCGAGTGCTTATGGAAAGACGTGCTCCATCATAGGCCGCATCATCGCTTACCATCATAAGAGATAGTGACCAAACGTCGGCCCATCAAATATGTATACGTATAAAAATATATAAGGATTTAAGTACGTATAATATTCATTTTAATTAATAGCAAGAAGAAAAATGCTGCTTTTCTGAACGCCCGTGCTTTGAAACTGATTGACAGTAAACTTTCAGCTACAAATGTCAAAGTTGCAAGGTTCTTCGTGCTACCTTTAAAGTTGAGGCAATACTGAGAACTGTCTTCTAGAATACACACTGCATAAGTAAAGCGAACCTTCAGCCAGGGTATATTGGTTTCTGACTTCTTTTTCCTGAGCAATAATTGGTTTACAAGCTCTTTGAGAGACGACAGAACGATACCGCCAACTTCTACATTTCTGTCGGTGACTCCTCTTTACCGCGATCTGTAGTTATGTAAACAACGCTTTGACTAATAAAGCAGCTTTCAACTTCAGGCATTTCATCCCTGAGGCTACAAATTCTCTCGAGTTTGGTAATAATATTCTAGAACGTTATGATAAAGGTGTATTACGTAAAATGACTATTAATAATTTTTATTCTTCAGCAATTAAATACGTTTGTAAACTTCATTGTAAACCTCAACAATAAACTTTTTAAATGCGATACCAAAGACAAAGTAAACGTGAAACAAAGAAGGATTTTCAGGTAATTTTGCACAATAGTCTTAACCTTTCAAGTGTCGTAATAAAACTCACGCAAATGAACGCAGGTGAACTTTGCCACCGTAAAAGATCTTGGGGAAAAATCACGTGTATAAAGACGTTTAAATATAATATTTCACAATTCGAAAGTGTGTAAATCTCCGGTTGTGTTTGACATTTACAATACAACACGTCATTACAACTTTTAACAAGGAAAATATTATGTTCCGTGTATCGCAACGTGAAAACACGTTTCCACGTGATTGTACGGTATTACAGCAAACCTTTTCAAAATTTAGAAAGTAGAGACACATTTTCTTCCGCAATTTTGCGTCATGTTTGCAAACCAGGAAAAAAGACGTAGGTACAACAAAACACGTGTTTATAATTCCGTCATAACATTAACAGAAAAGCGATGATACACTACGCCATAAACATAAATAAAGCTAGACTTCCTCGCAATCTAGCCAGGTACCTACAAAGTTTTTCTCACTTTGCAACCATTATGGTGTCGAGTTCAACACAGAATAAGTCAGAAAAACGTTCAAGCGGCTGCTTCCGGGATTGTACCCGCGACTCGCGACCCACCATCTAGAACACTGACTCCGCGGAGAAACATAAAAAAATACTGTTAAATACGAGAATATTTATGTTGGTCCAACAATGAGGACTACCAGTTTTGTACACACCACGTACCGTTTATGTGCATAAGTGAAAGGTTATGTACCGTGGGGTCCTTTTAAATTTCAGTAGTTGTCATAATTAAACATGGTCACCACTAAACACGCATTTGGTACTAGAAATTTTGCTATAGGATAACAGAACTTACCCTTTTGGAAATCCTGGTGAATTACTTAGTCCTCGTTAACGTTGTTTAGAGGTCATTTATCTAGATGCTAGAGTTAGCCTAGTCCTAGTGTTAGTCACTGGCTGCGCCTTCAGTAGCTTCGTATCAGGAAGCTATTATCGTCCCCCTCTGTGTCTAACGCGTGCCGACACCTAAGACAATGCACACATAGACCACGCAGAGTACACTCACTGAAGTACGCATATATAGGTATTTTCATATTTATGTGTAGTTTTTATTTCGTATTATAAACGTTTGTCATACTGTTATAGGTAGGTATGTGTTTCGTGTTCTAAGGAGTTTACATAGGACTCGAAATATGTCGGACACATAAGCAAATGTTATACTACTACATAATTAAAACACCCGATGTAGAAATAATAACTTATGTTGGGGAACAAGTAATTCATCTTATACTATTATATAAAGCGGAAGAGTTTGTTTTTTTGTTTGTTTGTTTGTTTAAACGCGCTAATCTCCGTAACTACAAGTCTGATTTGAATAATTCTTTTAATTTTGTGTCGGATAGCGCATTTATCGAGGATGGCTATAGGCTATAAAATATCACTCTGCGACCAGTAGGAGCTGAGCAGAGACTGTGAAACCGCGCGGAAGTAGCTAGGAAAAAATATTGTGATAAGCTCTATTCTACCCACTAAACCCTTTCGTTTAATATCAATAAGTTTAGAATATTTTATGTAATTTGACTGACAATCAAATATTTCAGTGGACTACAAGGATGACCTGCCCTATGGGCGCCTACCCTTTCTCTCTCAGATATCAACTATTTATAACATTACAAGAAAATCAGTCAAAATTTCATAACATAAAAAACAAAATTTCTTCTAAACCTTATAAAAAATCTTCTAAACACATATCGTTGTCCGCCTGTCTACTACTTCTCAAAGATATGCAACAAACTAAGTATAGTCTACTAACCTCGGTACAGCAATGAAGTCGAAGGTCCGATTATGGAAATGGGTTACCTCATGAATTTAAAAAAACAGTTTTGTTTTGTAAAAATATTTTATTGTTATTTTTTCCGCAATTTCAAGGCCTGTCTGGTGGCAACGGGTTGTATATAATCGCGATATTTATGTACTTGTAATGCTAGAAAGTGGTTTATCGAATGCTATAAATACATTTTTTCCATCAACAGATATTTGTTTGAGCTGCTGCAGTCTTATGAGCACTGCTCTGATCTGAACTTCGATTACACTCGCCCAGCTGTGCTGTCCAGCCACAGCCGTCTGCGTATAGTGTCACAGACAACTCAACAGGCTGCACAGTCTACAAGGTAAGTGAAGTCCGTCAAAATTGGAATTGGTTAATTATAAGCAACATATGTGAATAATGTTGTATTTAACGGTACTTAAGTCTTTTAACCTATTATAACTAGGTTCTTTTTGAGAATAATCATTCCTATTTTTATTGACAACATCATAAATATTGTGTAACATATCAATCAGTCTACAAAGACTTTCAATTGGCGACACAAGATCTCATGGAATAAAATTAGCACGACAGGAATATTGCTAATGGTCGGTCAATTGTCGGTGTGGTCAAGTGTTGATACAACAAGTGACGGAATACGAGCATAAATTGTGTCTCTCGTTCATCATCAACAGCATATAAATGTCCACTGCTGAGCAAAGCCTCTTCTCACACGGAGAAGGTTAGAGCGTTAATCACCACGCTTGCTCAATGCGGGTTGGCGATTTCAAACTTATAATTAGAAATTATAAGTCCAGGTTTCCTCACGATGTTTTTCCTTCACCGTTTGTCAGTGGTGTCTAAATAATCTTAGAAAGTACATAGAACTCGGAAAAAGTCACATTGGTACTTGCCGTTGGTAGGTTTCGAACCCGCACCCTCATGCATGAGAAGTGGGCGTCTTAAACCTCCGGGCCACCACGACTTATTTCTCTCGTTATGCCTTGTATATTGCAAGGCGTACAAAGTATCGAGAAAGCATTGTTCTATCAACTATGTAATGATGACCAGTAATGGCGATGAATATCTATAATTACAATATTTTTTGTCTTACTGATCTTAAAGTATAGACAATGGGAATTAAGTATGATATAATTTTTTTCACGTACACGCCACAAGGATTAACTTAAATTACACAAGATTTGACATATACACGACTATATACGACTGCCACAGCTGTCGCTCAACCAGCGCCCACCGCACTGGCACTTTTTTATATTTTTTAGATTCGTAAAATATATTCTAATTTTTGTTTTTATTTTTGCAGTACCGATGTCAATGACAACAATAATGGGGAGCCCGGACCCAACCGCCGTTCAGTGTCGCCCCGCCCTAGTAGCAGTGCTGCTGGTAAGCTTCCTCATCACATACACAACCTTTTTATTAACGAAACATATCCTTTATTTTGTTGAACAAAGATTACCGAATCATTTCGGGATCTTTAGCAAATCGGATTGTATGACCCCAAGAAATTGGGGTCATACAATGAGATTGTCGTGTGTTATGAATACTCAGCTTTATTTATGCTTATTGTTCCCAAACTATAGAACTAAAACCATAAAATGAGATAATGTACATTGTATTCAATTGCAACGGAAAGATTCGTTTGACATAGCTGTCGTTCTTAATAATATTCTCTAATACAATTTTCAATTCGACTTGTTAAGGACAGGTTCTAGACACGGAACTTTTGACCTTCCCACATTACCGGTGAAAAGGGTGTATTACATTAAACTTAATAAGATTACACTTAACTTCCTTCCTATCGATGTCATAATTTAAATATTTGTTTGTAAGAATAGACGGAAATCAATATAAGGCTAAAGGGGAATGAAGCTGACGCGTGTACCTATATGTGTTGTACGCCTGCGCCATTGGTAGTTCCAACGCCAATTGTATACTGGTGTGTATTGACAATTACCCTCATATTATACGGTACTGCGCACATTTATGTTGATAGAAATGTCTCTCGATTATAGACTCAATATTTAAAACATTTAAATATTTAGTTTGAATAGACTAAAGAACTATTGTTCCACTACACGTGCGCTAGGGCTATTGAGCTGCTTGACCTCGACCGATATCGTACGGCGAGGCTGGTAACATTATTATTACTAGTTTTTTTATTGAACCTCCTCAGTAAATAATTTCCCAGTGTTGGCAAACCATTGAAAATTAATCTTTTGACAAGAGATTTACATTACGTCAAACTGTATTTGCGCTATCTAGTGAGCGACCGCAAATACATACGCGCCCTCATTAACATACATCGCCTAACATCTTACGTTTCAATAAATAATAACGGTATTCTATGAAACCTACTAATAATAACAACATTTCCCAACATCATTATACTTTGCTACTATTTATGTAACAATGGACGATCTCGTTCAGAGTGGGCAACATTTTTTCAACCTCATTTTATTATCATTCTGAATATTTTCCCCATCTTGTGGGCATATCTCAACTTCTGACCTCATCAATCAATTCATTTTAGTTCATTGTATTTAAAATACGGTAAGATGAAATTACTTATACAGTTTTCACGATGAATATTTGATCAAAGACCTACATGATGCAAGTTTGACTCTCTGTGGCTACACTAACAGAAATGTAAAATGAGGGCATTTCATATTATTGTATATTTACAATTTAGCACTTCGGAGAGATTTGCAAACAGATATTTAAAAGGAAATCGATGATAATGCTATTTATTCGCTTTGCACAATGTTACTTAGTTTGTGTAAGACATTTGACCTGGCATTGTTACAGAAGACGCTTGAATGAAAGATGAAAGATATTGAATTAGCATTACACAGGGACTATCGGACGAATATAGCTCAACTGTGTAGTCATACTACCATAGGCTGCAGGTTGACCTTTTGTTATGACACTATTTCACTCTGCAGGTCACCAATTTTAAAACCTGGCTCTATTCGTAATACTAGCTCATTTTATGGCATTATTTTATGTAGGTGCGAGGCCCAAGCCTAGTAGTTGCACCGCTAAATTACAATTGTATTAATACATCAATTTTCAGACCACGCGACATAGAATTGTAGTACGTTAGTTTGTTTTCCGAACGAGATTTTATATATTCCAGGATCCAGCTCCGGTGTACACAAGCGCTCAGGCACAGAGATGGAGAACGTCCCTCCAAAGAAACGGCTCCGTATGTATGAGTCTGCGTTCCTGCGACGCGACTCTTTCATTGACAGCATGTTTGGCGGAGTCCTGCTTACTCGTGTAGAGTGCACCGAGTGCCACTCGTCGTCACTCTCCCGTGACGTATTCCGTGATCTGCAACTAGCGTTCCCTGACAAACCAGAAGGCTGGCAACACAACGTACAGAGCCTGCTCGAGTATTACTGCTCCAAAGAGAGCCTAACAGGCGAGAATCAGTACCAGTGCCGTGACTGCGGAGTGCTACGTGACGCTGAAAGAAGCGTGCTCATCGAAACCACTCCCAAGTACCTGATTCTCGTGCTTAAGAATTTCAAGTAAGTATTTTGTGTATTTGTGACGTTCTCGTACAAAACGCAATTTCTTATATAATTGATAATATTTTTTTCTGAAACAAAAATGTAATAGTGAAATTTTTATCAACAGATTTGACCCGAAGCTCCAGGTCCAGACGAAACTGATGCACTCAATGTATCACAACCACACCATCACGTTGCCGACGGTCCGCTCTCAGGCTGTACACGCCTCCTACACCCTGTACGCGGCCGTCATACATGCTGGAACAACTCTTGATTCGGGCCACTATTACACTCTGGCCAAAGACAATGATCAGTGGAATATGTACAACGACGACGTTGTCACGACGTCTGACGAAAGCCAACTTAATGGTTTGAACCGCTCGAGTACGCCCTACATCTTGTTCTACAGGCGCACAGATATTGAAGAGGGCACAGCTCCCTCTATGGAAGAGCTTCCCCCTAAAGTGCAGGAGACCGTGATGTCTCACAACAAGCAGTACGTCGAGACTGTCCGGAAAATGCGTCTAGCGCGTCCATGACAGTTAAGGTCTGACAAGCACATCGATTTCTCGGTGTTGGACCACGCTGTTGCCGAATAGGAATATCTATTTTATCATCTTACAATAACATGGACTCTAGAAGTGAACTATATATGTTACGGTCGTTGCAAAGCAGTGGCGATTAAGATCACGTCACAAAATTAAAAAAACTTTAAGAATACAGGAAATTGTGCATCCAGCTCCGCCTATTTTGCTATTCTGGCTGACAGTCTCCCTCTGTGCTTTGTAATGACTATTAATTAGGAAACACGAAGCCTCGTCAACTTACCGCAATTCAAAGAACATATAGAATGTGACGACTATTTCTACGTGATCGCTACGACAGGTTTTGTTTTTCGAAAGTCCTCGACAGGAATATGAGTTCTATACATAAATATTTGCTATCATCCATTATGTATCAGTGAGTGTTAGTATTTGTTGGATGTACGAAGATAAATATATTATGTGCTATAAAATAGAGAGGAGTGAATAAATATTTATATTTTAAATCTCTAAATCCTATTCGTTCTAGAAGAACTATTTACTGTGAAAATATATACGTCAAGAGACTGGATTGCTCTTGTTAAAGACTACCTATATATACGGGACTCCTCTCTGCAACTAAAGATCAAATCATTTGTTGGATTCGGTCCATACTTCCAGGGAACCCCTGTATATGTATACAAAACAGTTAAGTATATCGGATTGTATTATTTACATAACGTATGAAGCGGCTTGAAGAAAAATGTGCATGAAATTAGAATTATTTAAATTATTTTTACTTTATGTCATTTTACTGTCGCAGTATATTGGCATTGGCAAGTCTCTAATGCCATAATAAGCATGCGATTTACTATCATGCGAAACATTCAAGGGGACATTGAATGCACCCTACGGCTTAAGAAACATTTCGTGCAGTCTGTTTACAATTTTACAGGATATTTAGACCGTAACATATATACATAAAAAGTTGAAAATAAAATTCAGTATCGTCGTTTATGTACCTATAACTAATATATAAGTGAACCACGTTAACATAAGTCTTTAAAGTTATCATCTGCGACATTTTGCAATAAATCTCGTTATTTTTATTAAAGTTATAAATGTTAGAATAATTTAAAAATGATATTATAGATATGTATTCGTGTTGATATTGCATAATATATTCATTTTAAAATCATTAAATTTTATCAATATAATGTGTGTTATTGGTAGTTTAAATAAATGGAAAGATTTCAGTGAATTCAGAAAAAAAAATCATGTTAAGATTATCGTATATCCTTAGAGTAAGTAGATAAAGGAAGACGCAGTGAGAGGCGCTGCGGTCGCTAGAGCTAGTGTTTTAATGTTATCACATTATAATAATATAGTGACGTAATTTTGAATACATCTGCATGTTCCGTGTTTTAATAGTATCCAATCGCTGAAATCCTCCACTCTTATTAAATCATCTTATTAATGTGTAAGTGACGAGATTTGTTGCAAATGTCTATCAGTTTTACTTGACTTGTCACTTTATATTTTGTTATATTTTAAACAAGAAAATTTTTAACGTTTACTAGTTTTTGAGTCATTTGGCAGACAGGTACCTATACTTTTATTTGTAGATAAGTTTATAGTGTGCCAATTTTTCAAAATTGTTCGTGTCACTCATATTTAGTTTTCTAAATATCGAAAGTCAAAGTATTTTCATAATCGTGGAGCGTCATTTTCATATTAACTCACGATTTTAAAATGTTATTAGCGTGTTTTCTGGCACTCGTCATAAATTAAGCAAATTGTGTAATAATGATATATAATAACTTTCTATTCAAGTCGTAGTTGAATATATTTCCTCCGTACATTGGCGCTCTATGTTACCGTATTTACATACATTAAATATTGTTATACATTCTGACAACACTGTCTTAGTGTACTATCCTATGTGTCTCAGATAGATGTATTAATGTTAAACAAAATAATGTAAGTTCGTGTTTTATGTGCATTTGCTTATATTAATGTATTTTAAAATCAAAATATCGTTTACTAACTCATCTGTTCCAAGTATGAATTTGTTGCCTCTGGAATTGTATCTTGTTTCACTTGAATGTTTATGTTAACAGCGTCATTACGTACGATGCACACTGAACGCCGCTATACAATGGAGCGCTCAAAACTACCTTTTTGAGTATTGTTGAAATTTTCTTGTTTAATATTTTTGTGGGTATACTCGTATTGCAATTATCTTATTTCTTTATTTTTGTTTTTCCTAAGAAACATTTCCCTACACTAGGATTTTTCCGCTGTGTCGTGGGTGTGTTTACAAATATACAAGATCACACACATCATACGCAGACCAGAAACAACAATTTGTAGACCACACAAAGAGTTACTCTGAGCCGAAATCAAAACCGCGACAATTTATGTTTTATATTGGGGCTGAGGCATTGTACTTTTCTCTTTGGTTCTAATTCTAGACCCCGTCGCGTCTTTAGTAACGTTATACATCAAAATGTTGACAGTGCCTTAGGCCTAATTTAAAACTTTAATCTAATGTCATGACTCAAAGCAAATGAGTTATGACCTAACGACGATTAATGAAAAATATTTCATGGAACTCTAAATTAGGATCAGAAAAAGTCAACAACACTTGAAATTTAAAAGTACAGTTTTGTAAGTCTTGTATGGCGGCGTTTCAGTGTGTGATAGTACAATGAAAGTAATGATGTGTGCATGTATAATTATATTGTTGATTAATTGGAATAAATAATTAAATATACAATTTTTAAACTTAAACATTTTTAACATGTTAACCAATGATACATTGTCGTGTCGACAAAACTGTTAACATACAATTCAATGATTATTTATTGATTAAACCAATTTTTCAGCTGTTTGAAGTGTTTTATCCATACAATTCAATGATTATTTATTGATTAACTCGTCGAGTACCGTCTTTGTAGACACAATTATAGAACAATAGGTTGCGGTCACCGGTGACCGCTCGGTGTTTGACAGTTTAAACCAATTTTTCAACTGTTTGAAGTGTTTTATCTGCATATTGATTAAACTATTTTGTCGCCTGTTTTAACGTTTATATTATTTTCACTATTATTATTATTTACTACGGCGAAGTCACGGTTGTTGAGCAAATCCCGTCTCAATAGTATTAATCATTGTAAATATTATTTTAACTTCGCTTTATATTTAACAATCTGTAAATTTGGAAGTTGTTGTTCTCTATATGATTGTTTCAAGGTTTCTCTATAATTGTGGAGGATTTTGGCTTTTAACTATGTTTTTGTGAGTAAAAAAGATTGAACAAATCAAATGTTACTTACACAATCGGCCATTAAAAGTTCTGCGTTCGTTCCATCCAGTATGTATAGCGATTTACACTTGTTCTACTTAGTATGTAATTTTCATGTTCATGTTATATGGTTGCAACAATCTTGACTTGGCTGGGTTTATTTACATATGTTATAATTATGAATTGTTTAGTTTATTCCTTTATGTAAATAATTAAAGCATTTAAAATATAAGATAGATATTCTCCATGGTAAACCTAGAATAAGTAGGTATATGTTATTGTTCGGGGCGTAGCATCGGCCCCCTAATACATCACTTTTAATTTATAGTTAGAAAACACATATTATTGTAAAATCGGTTTTTGGTTTAAAATAATAAAATAAACGTTAAAAAAGTTTCGTTCAATTCTTATGTATCCTGCATACTTTGCATAAAATGTTTATGTATTGAGAGTTAATGGTGAAATCTTACAAATTATTGTTATAATAAATAACCTTTTTAGAAATGCATAGGGTGATGTATTCAAAATGTTTCAATGTTACAAATGGGATGCAGTTTCCAATGTTATAATAACGTGCATTATTTTGGAAGACACTTTTTAACAATGTAATATGGCAGTTGCATTTTTACCTTTACTAGGTGCCCTAGTGAAGGTATCGGTGGTGGGTAATCTTTAGTAAAGTAATAATGATTATATCTACTGCACTTTGTATCTTGTGTATCATCCTACTATAGAATCAAAATTATTGAATTCATAATTGAGGCCCTATTAAAACTAGAACTTCATGCTATTGCGTTAAAATTCTATTTATATTGCTAGTAATTGCTGTAAAAATGTTCTGTATTGGGAACTGCTGTATCATTGCATTGCGAAAATTTTAATTATTACATTTACTGCCTGCTGCTGCTGCCTATAAATTGTTTCGTTGCGTGCGAATTCTTATATAAGCACTGCCATTGAGAACTGCGGATGCACCTAAGTTACGCCTTAGCCAGGCTGGCGTCCTGACAACACCAAAATTACAAAATGAATAAAAGGAAAAACTTTTCAAGCTAAATAATAATAAGTCTGTTTTTGCCGACAAGGCGAAATAGAGTGAATCCACTTACGTTTTTGGCATTTTGATGTCAATAGCCAAAAATAGATTTCCAAATATTGAGAATTTTGAAAATTGATCAAGATTTTAGATAGTTTTAATACAACAATGCTTTTTTTTACGTGTTTAGCTGCCTGTCTAAAGGAACAACAATTTAAATTGGAAATCAATTAATCCATACTTTTATTTTATAAATGCGAAATGTGTTTGTCTGATTGTTTGTCCATCTTTTACGGCAAATTGACGTGATTGTCTAAGTAAAAATAGCTAAAGGTATGTAGAGCGAAATATAATATAAAACATCACGCTACGGTCAATAGGAGTCGAGCAGCGAGTGAAACCGCGCGGGTGTAGCTAAGAATACAATATAAAAGCAATATTTCATTGGAAATAATTGTTGGGAGCATTGTTTTTAGTCTCCTTTTTTCAGCGTCCTTGTTGGCGCCTACAGCAACAGCAATGTAATTATAATGTGTATGCATAAATATTACGAAATACCATTAACAATGCAATTAAATAAAGTTGAATTTGCCGCTTTAGAACCCTGTACCTCTTATTGTGTTGCCACTATCAAATTCATCTAAAATTTTAGTTCTTGTAAAGTTACGCGCATTTTTCTATTATTTTCCACATATTTTTATTAATACTCTGAGATAGAATATTTCTTACATACTTATCAGTAATTTATAGATAGATAAACGTTTTTAAATACAAATTACATAATTTTATCAAGTGGCAACATTTTCGAGCTGTCATAGCTGTTTCTTTACTTTGTCCACTAGATGGCGTTGGGCGCCTAGTTGATTTACAGCAGTCGATTTTAATGAGAAAACAGTACCTATGGCTTTATTTTATATCGAGGTGGGTAAGCAGCGATGTAAAATCCGACTTGTGTTACTGTAATGCCTATGACTACTACTAATTCCATGAATAAGAGAATATTTAGTCTTTCACAATTATTATTATTTCGTAATTGTAACCAACCTTGAGAGTTGAGACATCTTTATATTCCAAGGTAGTAGGCAGAAGTCGGTAGGTCTTACTAATAAGAATGCGAAAGTTTGTATGTATGTTAATTATTTGTCTTAGTAACTTAAATTCTGAAAAATAATAGTAACATTAATGTCCGGCTTATTTTTGTGTGCATTAAACCTTAAATAAAATGAATAAATAATATTGGAATTATCAACAACAATAAAACACAGAATTCAGTTTGAAAATAATATATTCACAAAAATGTATATATAATATTATAACAATTTATGAACTTATGCTTAATCTTAACTTATTTGCTGAATTTTTTTTTTGGGTTGAAAATCATCGAATGACGTGTCTCGCCTGGGTGAGACGGGAGGGAGTGTCAGACTCTTACTGACTAAAAACCACCCCGTTCCTTCTCCTGCACGTCGAGCCGGAGCACCGTTAGACCCACTTTTAACCTAACATAATTAGGTTAACACCTAAATAACCCCTTTTTATGTAATTAATATTTACATGGTTCAGGCTACCTCGATTTTACTAATTAATTCGTCAATTCACTATGTAGCGATAGTGATAATAGTTTTATAATTAAACTATTAATAACACATTTCTTTGTCATTTCTTATTTGAAGTCGGCGAACCAGAACCAGTTTACTAAGTATTTTCGATTTTTAAATAGTTTTTTCATTGTTAACAATGGCTCTAATATCTTCATGCGTATCTGACCGAAGATAGATATACCTACAGGGTGTTTGGTACATCGTGTGCTAAATGGTCGGCTGAAGGGGTAATCTACGGTTGAGGCCCCTTAACACTTCTAATGCCCTGTGGATTTGGTTTAACGATGTTTTACTGTTTTACTAAAAAAACACCTAAATTTTGTATTATTACGGTTATTATATGCCGAATACATTAAAAATGCGATATAATAGGTGACAATTATTTATAGTAGTACGGGGTGGGTGAATGCACTGGGCACGGGCCTCAATCGATTTTCAGTTAGAAGCTTCGAGAGCTAAAAGCGCGCGCACTGCATTTCGTGATGTATTCTCTACCTCGGACCCCGCAGCCGCCCCGCAGTTCAGTCCTTTCACCTCTCTGCATCCCTCATAGACCACACCCTACCTCACGCCGATACACCGTGCCATCCATCAATGGCTACATAAATATATCAAACAGCAGTCTCCCCCCCCCCCAAACAGACGCTACGCGTCGTACCTATTTCATAATAACTATGCAACCAGAACCGTATTAAAACTTACCCCCTGAGGAGGAAGCGATGGTATGAGGCACATAGGTACCTTCTATTCTATACTGGTTTAAGTGAATTAGAGGTTTTGTTGAACTTTCCAGATGCGAATGTATTTTGGGATCCTATGACGAAATTCCTAGTTACAGTTTTGATTTGAATGAAGATGAATAGCATCTACTTAAATTATGTTGTGCAAATTAAGAATACATTAATATTATAGCACAATTGAGCCTCTATAATAACTTATTTGTTATATTGTTTATAAACCTATTAGTTTCCCTCCTAGATTATTTAGCTTCTCTGTGGCGACTCTTGCAATCTGCTTGAAAACTGTCCCTGGTACCTGTAAAAGAACACAAATAAATATAAAACTCAGTCAAATAGGACAAGCTCCCCACAACATCCCAAAACCGCTGCAACTTCTGTAGGCCAGGATCTACATAGATATAGAATCCAGTCCATCTACAATAAATATAGATATAGACGTCCACTGATGGAATGGAATAGTCATAAGGTCTAGAGTAGACCTCTACCTTATGACCTCATAAGGTCAACCGACCACTGCAAATGCAGTATCCGATAATCCAATATTGCTTTTTTTATCAGATAACCTTTTTGATGATTGGGGAGGGGAGGGGCCTCCGGTTATCCCACGCGCACGATTGTTTACTGTGAGGTCATGGTATCCTGGAGCTTAATATTGAAAAAATTGAAACTTTTGATAAAACGAGCGCTAACAACCCCTGCTATGCTATGCTTGAAGGAAGGTTGAATATAAGGACAGGCCAATAGATCTCTAGACCAAACTAAAGAAACAGCAAAACATGGAACCTATTACAATACTGTCGTTGGCTAAAGTGACCTAAGAAAACTAAAGAATAATAAATTCAGCCCGCAGAGACAATATTTGCCACTGGCGAAAAATGCTGCACATACTAGGGGCTAAGTGGACAAATATAATAGAATAGAATAAACAGAAGCGGTATGTATGTAACACGAGAAATAAAAAAATAGATAAGGCAGTTGCCATTCATCTGAAAATAAAAACCAGGTTCTGCATAATGTACTACCGGTGCCATAAATATCATGCATAACTACTTAATTACTTTTACCACAAACCTCGATATTAGTAGACAACCTTGACAAACTATCGGTATGAGGTTGGGCAAAGCGGATGGTAAAACACGAAGAGGTCGATGTTCCAATGGTCCACAGACGTCGTAAGAAGAATATAAACCCCAGACTATGCCAGATCAAACCTGTTAAATATGCCCGATGTCAAATAAATGTTAAGGAAAACTGAAATTAATAAAATTTTTGTATTTGTATTTGAGGTCTCTATTCAACAGTACACGTCGCCGCTATTGTTCTAATTATCAAATTGGAAAATCATAATAACATGACTCTAGCACCTAAAAGAATAAAGTCGAGAAAATATAGGTATAAATGTACTACCTATATTATGAGATTATATGTCAATAAGGTATACTGAAACCAAAGCAAGTAATAAATAACAGATGTATTATGTCAAGGATCAAAGTCCGTCCCTGCACTTTGTAATATACGGCTCCAAAATTAGCCTTCAGCGCAGCGCAGCCAGACCGTCATAGGTACGCTGTTACAGATATCTAGGTACCCCCCCTCGCAAATCGATAACATTCGAAGGGTGGTCAGAGCCGCGCCCAAGGGTGGCAGGGGGTTTTAATCTCTACCGTATTCAATTTACCCATAGGTACATACATCAAAGGTTTGATGGAGCCATGGGGAAGCTAGGAGTCTGCGTCAGTTGTGTCTGTGTCTAGACGATCAATACTGTTTCAATCATGGTTTATGTGATAATTATTATGATGTGCATCCGTAACTTGACAAACAACACGGGCTGAAAACATTGCTTCGTTAGTAGTTTTGGGAAAAATTATTAATATTGAAATTGGGCTGGCTAAAAATAAGAATGCAAACTTAAAAAAAAAATATGATGTAGCTACTTACAATAAAAATAGCGCATTGTTCTTCCATGATAAAACATGTTCATCAAGTGCTTATTATTAAATTCTATGTGTTGAGGACGTATGCTTGTAAGAGTAGACAAAGGAATAGTTTAAAATTCACGTTTGTTTCGGCATTTAGTATAAATGCTGGAAACTACATACGGTATCAATACCCCTTTAGGGGCGAGTCGGTTAGGTATACTTACTAAATTAAGGATCTTAAAATAAAAAAAAAATACTCTAATATGGGAAAAATCAATGAAGTTCGGCTCTGCTAGTCTAAAAGGCAGTCTAGCTAAAATTATGAATTAATATTGAATATTAATATTAGATTATTGCTAAAATTATGATTGAAGTATCTGATTTTCTCAGTTAGGTTATTCAACTGGGAAAAGCGTTAGTAGCTAAATTGTTTATTATTTATTTATTTTATTTTCAGCCATGATCGTCCCACTGCAGGGCAAAGGCCTCAAGCTAAACTTTTATTTTCAATTAATTTAAACATAATTAACTTGGGGCCAAACGTTGAACTATCAAATAAAATTGATTATAGTTTATTTATATTTGCTTTCCATGTTAGTGTTAAACGATATGGTTGGAAAGAAGGAAGTATGGCAATGAGGATTCGATTTTCATTCCAACTCTTCCTTTCTTCTGGCTTTCTGCCAACTAGTTCACGGACGAGATTCACTATCGACTGCGTCGGTATGGTTGAATGACCTGGCTAGGGAGTCAGTCAGACAAAGGCTTACTATAGTCAGTATGAAAACCACGACTGAGTGCCTCGTCATACTGCAGATGCAGATGCAGTACCTACTACTCGCATTTTGAATATTCAATACTCAATTCAATCTTTACGTAGGGTATTGTCATTCGTCAAGATCTTATACCCATAAATGAGAAAATAAAAACATAAAGCAGTCAATATAAAGGTAGGTATGTAATTATTCATTAGACTAGCTGAGCCCGCGACTTCGTCCGCGTGGTATAGTAATTCACAGCTCCTCCCCCGTAGTTAATTAATAGCATGATAATATGTAGCCTATATATTGACCCGACCTGTTAGTAATATTCATGCATTTGAAGTAAATCCATGCAGATTTTTTTTTGAGTACATTCCGAACAGACAAACAGACGAAAATTAAAAAAAAACACATTTTTTGTTTCGGTATCGAATGTAGATCACGCTCAAAGCATTCTTTTAAAAAAATATTTAATGTACAGTTTTCACTTTCCTACGATTTCATTAGATGTAATATAAATGTTTCCATTAGAGAAGAAATAAAAATGTATAATATCGATACAGTGACCGCACGCCACCCCTCGATAATAGGAGTCGCCTGCCATCAGCTTCCGCCTGGAGCCGCCCAAGAAAGCAAATATTTCCAGTTCAACCAGTTAAAAACTTCATCTTGCTTGACAATCAATATTTTATGTAAAATGCCTCATCTTCCTTTATTATAAAAATGAATCGCAAAGTTTGTTGATAAGTGCAGAACTCAACAACCACACCACACACACACCAACAACCAAATTTGAGCTTTAATTACAAGACAATGGAAGTGTATTCCTTACGTTCAAAGATACAATTTGCGCTGTATTAACGCTGTGTAAAGTTGAAATTCAATCATATCTATCAAGATAGTGTGCGTGTGTGGGTTGGAGCACAGAATACATCGTTGGAGGATTTAGGCTAAGGACACAGCGCGATTTTCTCCAGCACCCTTGGTGGGTATGTGTGTATGTCAAAAATATACATAATATACAAATATGTATGTAAAAAAACAAAACACAGTTCACGGTGCGTTTGACACCCGCGGCGGTGCGATTGTTTACGGCTCCCGCTAAACCGGCGTGGCGGGCGCGGCCGCGGTACCGTAGCCGCGGCGGCTAACACCCGCGCGCTGTGCGATCGGTTGGCGGGCGATCGCAATGGGCGGGTTGGTCTGAAAGTAAACTGATTGTTTAACCGCCCGTGCCGCCGCGCGACTGTCAACCGCCAATATTGCGGGCGATAATCGCACCCGCGGCGGCTGCGGATCGGCAGAAATCTGGGGTCTCGTGAGTTTTGAAAATAAATCTCCATTCCGGAACCGCGCCGGGCGCAGAAGAAGATCGCGTCGTGAGTCCTTATCCTAATTGTCACGTTCCAAAATTGAATAGTTACAAAATGTGTGTTTCATGGTCTTTCATGCCAATGGATGATTGACAATTTGTTTTTTTTTTGTTATCATGATATTTAACATTAAGGTACTCAATTGCCATAGAAAAAAAAACATTAAGGTATTCCAAGATGTTGACAGCAGCCTAAAGAGCAAAATGCATGAATAAAATTATTATTTTCTGTTAACTTGATTTCAATTTCTTGAAACTTGAACTTATATATCAAAAAACTAATTACACACGGCTGAATACTAATATACATAAGTCCTTGAAAATCCACGGTATTAAGTTTAATTTATTTAAAACCAACAAAGTATAGTAATGTTAACCAGATGTGTGAAAAACTACCAAAAGAACTCCTTATACTATTGGTATAACTTACGCTGTAGAAATTATGGACAATAGAGCCAAGAGATGTACCTACCTACTAGAGTCTTCAAAGGACATTCAAATCAACGTAGAAGTGCTCGATATCATATTCTGTTTATTTGCTCTATTTTTCGTCTAAAAATCGTGTGCAATAGTAAAGTCGCACCACCGCACCGGTACAAACTAGGCTACATTATTAGCACCAGAGTAATAACCCGGAAATTCCATAATTTCGGCAACTACCTATGTGTTAAATTCCGGGACTGAAATTACTGAACCTATCATCATCATCAACAGCCTATAAATTCCCACTGCTGAGCAAAGCGTCTTCTCACACGGAGAAGCTTTGAGCATTTATCACCACGCTTGCTCAATGCAGTTGGCGATTACAAACTTATAATTAGAAATTATAAGCCCAGGTTTCTTCACGATATTTTCCTTCACCGTTTGTCTGAATAATCTTAGAAAGTACATATAACTCGGAAAATGTCACGTTGGTACTTGCCTTTCTCAGGTTTCGGACCCGCACCCTCATGCATGAGAAGCGGGCGTCTTAAACCTCCGGGCCACGACATTGAACCCATTTGAGTGAAATTCGGTACAACGATACTTTTAAGCCGGAGAAAGACCTATTTGATTTGATGAATTGATTACATATTTAACTGAAATTCGGTTTAACGATAGTTTGAGACCCGGAAAACGCCCCTGGGAGTTTTCAACCGCTATACCTATTTGATTGGAATCCAGTACAACAATGGTTTGCAACCCGGGAAAGGACATAGAATGATTTTCATCACGCAAACCTCACAGGAACGGTCGCTACACGGGTAAAATCACCGAATATTTTTTGAAATCACGAAAATGAATTCATTTCACTATAAATATTTAAAACTTTTTTTTTCTTTTTAAGGGGGGAAAATCATCGAATAATTGCTCCCGCCTGGGTGAGGCGGGAGGGAGTGTCAGACTCTTACTGACTAAAAACCACCCCGTCCTTCTCCTGCACGTCGAGTCGGAGTCGGTTACCCGTTAGATTCTCCGCGACCGTTACGTTCTCCGCGACAAATATTTAAAACTTAGGTACTGAATCGATTCTGATGAGGTTTATTACACAGCATTGGAATTAACCAAATTAAAAATCTAAATTCTACCAGAAGTCATTATTATACGTGGACGAAGTCGCGGGAAATAGCTTATTGATGTGCAGATAATTTACAACATAACTTTTAAATTCCATGTTCCTGCCCGGTCTCTGTCAAATATGTAGACACTTTAATCACCTCTTCACGACACCCGCAGGAAGAGGGAATTGTAGAGATGGCGACGGATTTGCCTGTCTGCCATTGCCATCACCACACTGCTATTATATTTATTAATTTATAGGACATGTAGTAAATAGAAAATAGGTAGTTAGATTCTTACCTCCAGAACCGAGTTGACAAAATTCGAAAGTCCCTCGGCGCCTCCAACTATGGCCTTACCAGCGCTATAGAATTTGTCTCCTGAATTTCCATACTTTTCTTCCTCCCTTATGGTATCCACTATAGGCTCCGGCTGAAGAGAAAAACAATTATTTTATACTATGAAATAATAAGTCCTTACTTATGAAATTGCCGTTTTGTATGAAAAACATGAAACTATTTTTTCCATGTATTTTTATTTGTATGAATCCAAGTCATCACCTATGCAATCAATGCATCTTTGCCAACATAGTGGCAGTTTATTGATACTCTTCTTAAAGAAACCAGCTGGAGCTGGACGGGAGGCAATAGAGGTAAATTCTTCAAAGGCATTTTGTACTGCCTCTTGGGTAATATTTCTTTCCCGCCAAGAAATCAAATTCTGGAAAAAGTAATAGTCTGTAGGCGCAAGGTCTGCGGTGAGTACGCAAAAGACGGAGAGCTTCCATCCCCAGTTCTTGCAACTTGGAGACCGTCTGCTGTGCAGTAGGTATGAGGTCGCGCGTTGTCGTGCATGAGCAGCCCAGACGAGTGATTGACCAATGCTGGTTGGTGATGTGCCAGCTTCTCCATCATTGTCTTCAGTCCTTCACATTACACATCTGCAGTAATGATTACCCCGTTTGGTAAGAAACTGTGATGAATCACATCGGCGCTACACCACCAAATAGGGACTATAATTTTTCTACACTTCATTTTTCACCAACTTGCTGAGCGCTTGTGGTTATCAAACAGAATTCATTTTTCATCGCAGGTGATGCGGTTCAAAATTCCTTCATTTGTGCGTCTGTTAAGCAGTGCAAGGCACGCCTTGACGCGTACTTCCCGCTGGCGATCATTGAGTTCGTGGGGCACTTATTTCTCAAGCTTTTTTAACAATTTGTCGCAAATGGAACCACATTGTTTAGACGCTAACGTCGAAAGCTACTGCTAATTCAGCCGTAGATTGTGTATCATCAGCTTCCACAATCGCCTTTATTTCGTCAAAATCTTCGGACGACCGCGGTGTTCATTTTTCAGATCAAAATTCCCAGAACGGAAACAAATTAATAACAGCTGGTGCGTTGGTTTGTAGTGTTAGCTCCGTAAACGCAGTTGATGATGCGTGCCGCTTGCGCCCTGTTACTACCACCACGACTGTACTCATATTCCACAATTACTTGAGTTTTTGAGGTTCCCATGATGATAAAAATGATTGAAATGCGATGATCAATAAACAAATAACTACTTTTGGAAAAAAAATTCTATGTTTTCAAAATAAAATTAATTCAAAATTAGAATTCTTAGCCAAACAAAAATATTTTGATTTTAAATGGCCAGTACTGCAGAATGGCAATTTCATAGGTAAAGACGAGATAAAGACCTAAAGTTCAATATAACTTTTGCCTATTAGCTTGACCAGCGAGCAGCTGAGTAACGTGATGTGGGTACGATTCTTGCACGTACGACATAGTACGTAAGTACCTGTACTATCTACATAAGCAGTGTAATTATATGTACATTAATTCACTTATGTGAATACCAACCTGAAATATTCCGGCCACGACACCTTGTATATTTTCCTTGATTGATAATTTCTTACTGCCGAACCCTTCAGATTCCTGTAGGGCAGTTTCCAACGTGGTGACAGGAGCTGCGAATAGTCCACCTTGATGAACATTAGCCTGTAAGAAATGTCAGTTTATTACAATTATGTTTACTTTATTATTATAGGGGATCACTTATCCTAGTAAGTATAGATACAAATACAATAATATATCAGTGGTAATTGTATACCATAAATAATTATGATCATTAAATAAGGCGACCAACCGTCCCGTATTCTGAGGGACCGTCCCGTAATACTAGATGTAATCCCGCTTCGAAATAATTTATAAAATAGTCCCGTAAAACGTTAGAAGCGTCCCGCAAGTCCCGCATACCCATTTCAGTTTTTTTCATTTCATACTACACGACACCAACACACGCGCACTAACAACAGCGCGAATAAATGAAGATTGGAAAAATCGTCACTAAAAGTGAAAACACTACGTGCTCTGGGAAGTTGCGAAGATTTTCATGACATACCTACTCAATAAGAATCCTGAACTTGTTAAAAAGTGTCACTCTAGAGATAAATACGATTTAATTAATAGTTAAATAACTTTTGTATCTAAGTTTTATGTTTTAATGTAATTGTACCTAGTTTTTTTTAAGGGGGGGGGGGAATCATTGAATGAATTCTCCCGCCTGGGTGAGGCCGAAGGGAGTTCCAGACTCTTACTGACTAAAAACGACCCCGTTCCTACTCCTGCACTTCGATCTGCTGTAATTATAGGTGTACCGACTAAACTTTATCTACAAAAAGTCCCGCATTGGACTTTCAGAAAGTTGGTCGCCTTATCATTAAACTTTTCAATGGTTTCAATATACTTGGGTACAAAGTTATACCGTAAAACAGGGTTAACAGGATTCGAAAGGTGAAAAGAAATAGAAGAGGGCAAAGAGATCTAATAGAGTTAGAAAGGTGATTAGAAATTAGAGAATTGTTCTATTATCTATTTAGGTATAAAACCTCTTCTGTGGCTATTTATCGTTCTAAATCTATTCACCATGTTTTACCGTTACGGAAAAAATTTAAGTTGATTAAATAATAACATTGAATTATGAAGAATAGGACTGTTTGTAATGTGATGATGACATCAGAATTTATTGCACATTTAGAGTCCACGTAACTCGGCAATCTTGGGATTTTTTAATGGCATAAGCCGGTGAACGAGCAGACGGATCACCTGATGGAAAGCAAAGCGTCGCCCATTTACACCTGGAACACCAGAAGCGTTACAAGTGCGTTACCGGCCATTTGGGGATTAGAAGTTTGAGGATCAGGGATTCAGGGATTGCGGAAGGGGAGGGTAATTGAGCCTCCGGTACCTCACTCAGACGACGAAACACAACGCAAACGTTGTTTCACGTCGATTTTCTGTGAGGCCGTGGTATCACTCCGGTCGAGCCTTGCAAGCATGGCTCTCCCACATTTAAAAGGAATTGAGTTGAAGAAGAAGGGATCAGAGACTGAAGAAGAATGATACTTGTGTTAAAAAATATTTTATAAAGTCATACCTTTGCGTTTAACGTGCTTTCCAATAGAGTCTGTGCAGCCTGCACTTTGTATGTAACAAAATTCCCATTACTGTTTAAATGGTCACCTCCAGGATAGTTTTCAGCGTCCAGAGGCTGAGATTGCAACACACCAGAACCAGCTTGTGGCTGGTCGTAAACCGGCAGGTCAATGCGAATCGGTTCGTCTACAGGTGCAGAGAGACACACCTTGACTAGCAGGAGAACCGATACGAATTTTACAAGAGGCATGCTGAAAGAAAAAAAAACGTTTATTTCCAGAAGTAAACCAGCTAGTATTCCTATAGAAATGGTATGTATGAAGTACAATAACCTATTGAAGTTATAAAATTTACACTTTATATGACCGGAACATATAATTCTTGCTAGATATAGATATTATACCTAATGAGTAATGAGTCAAAGAGTACCTACTTATATAGAGTATAAGTATAAGGGTAAATTTAAATAAATTTACCCTTATACTTTATATAACATTTATATAAAGGGTAAGTGCTTTTTTTTTTTTTAAGGGGGGAAAATCATCGAATGACTGCCCCCACCTGGGTGAGGCGGGAGGGAGTGTCAGACTCTTACTGACTAAAAACCACCCCGTTCCTTCTCCTGCACGTCGAGCCGGAGCCCCGGTTACCCGTTAGGTTCTCCGCGACTCCGAATCGGCATCGGCCCTATTGGGCCCCATCTGTGGTGGTCTGATGGCTCTTTGAGGCGCGCGCGGAACGCGACGCGCCGTACGCTCGGGTCTGTTTCTGGTCGGACGGGGAGCCACCCATGCTCGCCGTCCGCAGGCCCGCGCTTACGGTGGCCGGAGATCGTCCCGCGATCCCCGACGCCCGGTGTGTCCTTCGCGATGGCTGGGTTGCGAGGAGGCAGCGCTTCGCTGCCTCACGCGTCCCGCCTCCTCCTTAGCTAGCATGACTGCTTCGCAAAAGGAGGAGACGGCATCCCAGTCCCCCTCGCTCCGCATCATGGCCTGCACTAGGCCCGGACGCGAGAGGTTGCCATCGCCGATCACTTCCCTGAGGACACGGCGGTGCTCAGCCCACGCAGGGCATTCCGCGACAGTGTGTTCCACCGTGTCCTCAGGGCGGTCCTCGCAGTGATGACACCAAAGGGTAAGTGCTGGGGGTGCATCGTGGGGAGTTCATCCAAAATTTATACGTTGCATAACATCACGCCTTTTATCCCGAAGGGGTAGGCAGAGGTGAACATTACTTCACTTAATGCCAATGTACAATGTAACACCCACTTTTCACTATTTATGTTATGAGTCCCATGTAATAGGGGGTGAGCCTTTTGCCATATACCGGGCACATTTCCAGGCTCCGTGCTACTACTGAGGTTTTTACAAACACAGTAATACTTTGCCCGACCCGGGAATCGAACCCGAGACCCCTTGCCCGGCAGTTGCACTTGCGACCACTTCGTCAATGAGGCAGAAATTTATACGTAATTTGTATATAGCGCTGATCAGAAGTCGTATGGATTATGGTACCTACTTATACGGAAATTGTGTTAAGACTAATTTATACCAACTCAATAAACTTCAAAATATCGCTTTAAGAATAATTTGAAGATTTATCAGAAGCTCGCCTATTCATGTCATGGAATCGGAGTTGTGTATCCAACACTTGCACATTAGGAGAGAATTTTTAGGCACACAAGTACCTACTGTTTTAAGGCACTGTCTTGGTCTGATAACTTGTCGATTAAGGTGCTGGGCGAGCTTGACACTCTGTGTGGTACGCACTACAATGATACCAAACTTGATACTATACACTCAAGTGAGATTCTAGAAATGTTTAGTCTTAACATTTGGGTTTCATATATAGACGTAAATAACTTTATTCATACCAATCTAGATAGTGTTACTGTTTCTAAAAAGCGGTTTAGTATAATTAAACTTAATGTTATCAGTGAATTACAGGAAAAATACCAAGGGTACCATAAAATTTTCACAGATGGCTCAAAGAATTCTGTAATTTTAGGCCCTGCATTCTATGATTCGCTTCTTAAAGGATCTATGTATTATAAAATAGACAACAACATCTCTATTATGTCGGCGGAGCTAGTTGCATTCTCAGAAGTCATTCTTTATTGCTTAAATTAAAATTTAGATAAGGTGGTCATCTAAACTGACAACAAGAGCGCCCTCCAACATTTGGCTCGATGCGCCTCTGGCTTCGGAGGTGTTTCGGTAGCCTACAAAATTCTAAAATGTCTACACAATTTTAATCAAAATGGGAGAGTTCTGAGATTGCAATGGATACCGTCTCATATAGGTTTGGCAGATAACGAAGACGCTGACCGGCTTGCAAAACTAACAACGACTGAAGGTATACCAAAATCTGTAAATCCGTATAATTCTGAGTTGTTGCCGAAGGTCAAATATATAGCTTACAATCGCTGGAAAGCATACTTTGATATATGTAGCAAAGAAAAAGGAATATGGTATAAAAGTTTACAAAGTGAACCTCCTCGAGTGCCTTGGTTCGTAATCACTACACTAAATAGTTCCATGTTGAAATTAGCTTTTAGACTTCGTTTGGGACACTATCCATCGGCAAAGTTTGCACATCTCATGAGAAAAGCTGACACACCGAATTGTCCGACTTGTGGAAAGATTGAGGATGTGTAACATTTGCTAATGGAATGTGTACGGAATAAGGTGGATCGGGAGTCGTTGCTGAGAAAGTATGGCATTGCAAAGATGAACGTAGGTATCATACAGAGTGTTTTAAGTGAACCTGCATCAGAAATAGCACAAGCGTTTTACTTGCTAGTACCGCAAACCCAGCACCGACCCTCATAATTATTTATAAACAACCAGGATAAGTACTAGGTATGTGTTAATAGTTATAAGGAACAATGGGTATAATATGTTAATTTTAACCAAAAACCCTAAATAAATCTAAGTAATAAAAAAGTATAAGGGTAATGAGTTGTACCCTATAATGTTTTTCTCTGTCTAGAGGTAAAACCTTAAACTATGACACCATTGAGAAAAGGCCTTTTTTCACAAGGAGAAAGAATAACCATTAATAGCCACGCTCGCTTTATGATTTCTATTCTCTCAGCCTCCTTGACAACTCTTAATTGTCGTTGACACTTTTGTCAAAATGTACTGGGTACTTCACAAGTTATTTAACGGGTTTTATTCATTTTGTGATGTTTTTTACTAAATTAACAATGTGTTATATATAATATTCAACATTAATATTATAAGTTAATAAATTTATGTAATGTACGCAGCTCAAGTCTTCAATTATGGAATCAGTTGAAACAGTACCAGAAGTTAATAAATTTATGGGAACGGTACATACAAAATATGGATCATTCATAATAGCAATAATTGGTATGATAACCGGAGCATTTGGGCTATTCATGATTATCTTGTACGGTCTAGTCGAAGACAGTTACGCTGCTTATTTTGATAAGAACAGCGATGATTCTGTGAAAAAGGCTATATTGATGATCGTTGGAATGACTTGTCTCTTCCTATTCTGTGGTTGTTTCACTATGTTCGTAGGTCTGGTTTTTAAATCTAATTGGAGCGTGCTACTCGGTTGCTGGATCGTTTTAGTCATGTTAATGGGATTACTGGTTGCATTCATGGGGTTGCCTATTTCTTGTTTTTTCCTCTCCAAAACTTGTGTGGTAAGGCAATCATCCACTACGTTATTTATTCTCTCTTATTTGGTTATGACGTTTTTTCTTTGGGCTTGGTTTTATTTTGTGGTTGTTGTGTTCAATTACTTAAATACTATAAAATTTTAAACCCATCTATTAGATAGTGACATAGATACCTTAAGTACAACGAATTCTTCGAAGACTTCCGTTTGTTTTTTATGAGCGTGAAAATGTAATAAACGTTAGTTATGATGGCAATCGTGTTTTATTAGTAGGTATGCATAATAGGTATAATGAAGTACATTTTATAATAACTATTAATTTGTGAGGCGTATCAAATTAATTAGGTAAACCAATAACATCTTCCCATAGTTTAGCAACACAACACAAGACCCTAACTGATGATAGGTAGACATGCCAGGAGCTTTTAATTATGAGCGGTATATATTTTTTTATTTTAATTTAGTACCATGACTTAGGTACTTACTTATGCAAAGTTCCATTAGAACATTAGATAGAACAGAACGATAGCTTTGTAACACTAAACTACTTACTTAGACCTAGGTACATAATAGGTACAATCATAAATGCCATTTATGCCGTGCGAGCTCTATTATACTGATTAAATGAAAATTCAGATACCCACAAATTTTATTTAATATTTAAAATAAAATATGATTATTAGCAAAAGCAAAGTTAATTGATTTTAATGGTTGGGTTTAATGGTCGTTTCGAGTACCTATGTAGGTACTTTATACAGCCTACCAGTGCTTGTTGTGCAACGACAGAAAACACACATGGGCCTGACTTATTTAATTGCACTTAGAAACACTATTTTTAAAACAAACATCTTCGTTTAAATTCTGAAATTATGTAAATACAACAAAATAAACGGAAATGTTGAATTTCTAATACTTCAACACTAAATACTTGTTTTTGTAGATACACATTTAAGAGCAATGGTCGCATAATATCATTATATAAATAATCCAGGTAGCACTCAGCACTTGTAAATCGGGAATAGACAATTATAATCAACACAATTTACTTTCGCCAATATAATAATATGTATAATAAAACAAAGAAAAATAATATATAATAATCCGTAGCAGTACATTGATATTACGAGAACATTGACGTAATATTTGAATGGTGTAACTTACTTGCGAATCCGCGCGGTTGTCGTCTGCGATGCGTACGCGCCGATTTGCCACTGCCATAGACCGAGTGGTTGCACACTTTCACGCCTTACGTCACTCATTGGGCCTTGGCACTTGTACCAAATGTGTGGTGGATGTGGCCACACTGACCACCTTCGCACTTAATGGTTGACAGTAACCAATTAGCAATTTAACTATTTACTATTATTTTATAATACCTATTTAAATTAGATATAATTATACTGAAAGGTACGAAAGCTTTTTAACTAGTCCTACTAATATTATAGATGCGTAGGCTTGTGAGGATGTATGTGTCTGTTACTCTTTTCCATCAAAACGGCTGAAGAAATCGATATGAAATTTGGAACAGGGGTAGATTACAGCCTTGAATAACATATAGGTTTTGTTATTTCACAGAGATGCAGGCAAAGCCTATGGCAGGTAGTTGTAATTATAATCTTACAATTAAGTTATAATAACAATTTAAATAGGTAGGTAATGTAAGTAAGGTGAAAGAAGTGGAAATTATCGTTCTTTTATCTTCTGCTCTTAGGCTCCTATAATATCTTCCGAGTTATTTCGTTGCGGGAACTAAAACAGTTATTCATGTCCCTGCGATGCGGTGAACTTCAGTGTTCTGGTGTTTTCATGGTTGTATCTATTGTAGATCCTGGCTTACAGGAGTTGCAGCGGTTGTGGAAGGTAGTGGCGAATTGTCCCATTAAAAAAAATTAGGCGAGAAGGCGAGTCTACCTTCTCCCTTTTATTGTTGGGATTTAAAAGGCGAGATGTTATGTTTTTATTGTATGCTAACTCGCTTGCGATATCATAGGATAATTAGGTATATCAAAAAAAAGCGTTGTCCCACACCAGGATGTGGGTGTGTTTACAAACATATAAGTTTACAAACAGACCCGAAACAACAATTTGTGGATCACACAAAAAGTTGCTTCGTGCGGGACTCAAACCCGCTACTCGTTAAGCGGCAGCTAGTTACCCAGCCATCGCTCCATCCATGCAGTCCGGTAGGGTTACAATCATAGATAGGTAACTATAAAATATTTCTGTGGTTACAATGTAACAGCCAATGTTTTAAGTACCTATTTTTCGCGTCGACATATTTCAATCCGTCGTATGGAACGTGTTACGTACGTACGCGAGACACAATTTATATTTGCTATTGTGTTTGATATACCGGATTAAGAGAATAAAGAGGAAATTAGGAAAAATCAATCTAGTAGGCTTTGATGCAAAATAGCCGTAGGTAATAAATGTTCCATGCAATTTTGTAATCTACTCTAGGTCATAGAACTACGAAGACGTTTAAGTTAGTTATGTTAGGTATCTTTAAACACCTTGATGCGTAATTATGTAACTTTTTGAATTGAGCAAACTCTTGAACTATCTTGACACATGAATGTAAATGACTTCTTGATCTTTAACATTGCCAAGGCAGCGATTTTCTTCATAATAAGCATTGAATAGATAGGGACAAGGTGTTGCATGTGATTTCAATTTAGTAATGGAAAAAGCCGACACTCTTAGTACGGCATAAAGTATACTTTAGGAATCCGATAACTCGTTGAGTACCGTCATCAAAGACACAATTAAAGAACAATAGGTTGCGTTCACCGGTGTCCTAGCAGTGTTTGACAGTTTACAAGTCTAAAGCTAGGTAATCACCAGTGATCGGAAAAATTAACAAAAACCTAAAGTCGTGACAAAAGTTGCGGTTTCTTTCTAGCTTTTGTTATTGAAAACATAATTTTGGTGTTGAATAATTCTATTTTATGCTCTTTTTTACATCTTAAAATATTTATTGTTGAAAACAATATAAGTTTTAATTTTGTTTGGTTTTGTGTTAAATTTAAGAAATAAAATCACGAAACGAAATCAATTATTTTTTGTATTAATAACAATTATATTAAATGTAATATATAAATATCCCGAAATTGGAACCGGAACTTTCCCGAAAAAAATTTTGTAGTAAGGAAGTCTCCAGTTTTTGTTTTTGTTCCTTGAAGTTTAGGTAAATTAGCTAACCTTTTTCCGATCACTGCTAATCACACAAGTGTTAATAAAAAATTTGGTGTAGTGATTGTCCGCCATGTTTTGCAGACGAGCATGCAATTTTATAATTATTAAAATAAAAACAGTTATAATTAAAGTTGGTTTTGGTATAAGTTGGGTGAGAGGTTACCGATGCCGAGCATACAAGTTTTAGGTTCGAATCAAGCTTATCGTTTCTTACATGGGTCTGGGTCTAAGATAGATGTACTTACCTAACTGCTAAACATTTAAGTTAATATAGTATAAGTGATAGTACTTTGTGCATCTCTGTTCACTCCTTTTGAAATTAAAAGGGGTGATGTTACATTATGTTTTGTTGTACTGCAGGGTTTCGACATTAATGTCGTGGTGGACTGGTGGTTTAAGACGCCCATTTCTCATGCCTGTGGATACGGGTTCGAAACATGGCAAGTCAAGTACCTACCAATGTGATTTTTTACTCTTTTATTATATCTATGTAATTTCTAATAAGATTAATTTCTAATTATTAATTTGAAATTGTCAATCCACTTGAGCAAGCGTAGTGGTCAATGGTTTATGTGAAAAGGGCCTTTGCTCAGCATACTAATGGGCTCAAATAGACTGTTGAGGATGATAATGTAGTGTAGTGTTATTAAGTGATTATACATATTTTACCTTACACTATTTCCCTAAAATAATAAATCAAAAATCCACTGGAAACATTCGAGGTAAAAGTTCGACGACGATCAGTTTATTTGCGAGATTTTGCGCGGACATTCTGGACCCCAGCCGGATCGATATTGCCAGACAAATAATACGCAGGTACAAAAATAAACGTCTGGGATAACTGGCATCACCATGGATACGTCTTCGTTGCTATGAGTAGGTGTCGGGACATTAATCAAGGACGTTGTAATTTTCAACGTCCTTGTGCTAAGTGACATTTCTAAATTAGAAACTTTCCAAGAAACTTCGAATTTGAAAATTGACAGGTACACCCACATTACTATAACTCGATCTCTTGAAATTTTGTTTAGGTAATAGATAGTATGGTATTTTTATTGAATACTGGCTGTTCCCCGCGACTTCGTCAATAAAATGTATTCAGTTCATTGAAATCGTATTTTTCCTTTAAAATCTCAGATTCTGATGCAGCTAAATACTATTAATAGTCCTTGAAAGAAGTTTTCTATTGGCAGTTAAAGGCTTAAGCAATATAAGAAGTTTTTTGGTAGAATTTTCGCACATCGGGTTACATTATCTAAATTTTCACACGGATCTCTTTCTTCTGTTTTATTAAATATAGCCTATAATGTAGCATTCAGCATCGATAATGTAGGATTCCAACGGTAAAAGAATTTTTCAAATCGGCCCGGTAGCTTCGGAGGAGATGCCATTCAAACAAACAAAAAAATCAAATCTTTCCTTTTTATAGGTACTATTAGTATAAATAGGTACTTACCTATTCGATAAAAAAAATGCGTAGATATGTACCAAACTTATTATCAACTACTAAGATAGGTAATTGACACTAAAATAACGAACGAATGACTTAATTAGTCAGTGCCTACTATGATAATTAAAAAATCTATGAATACCTAAGTATTCATAGATTTTTCGCTTACTAATAAGCGAATACCTAATTGTATTACTTAAGAAATTATAATTATAATCGCTTACCACCATGCGAGACAGTGCTCAAACGCCGCCCATTAAAAAAAAAAATTACAAATATGCGTCGCATTCATACACATTAATTTATAGACTACCTGTTTAAATGAAGGTGATGAAACGAGCATTTAGTGTCGAGGACTCGGTAACTAAAGCTAGCGAACCTGAGACCTTAGTACGAGTTTGTTTTACGTATATAGTATTCGAAACGAGTACGCGTTCGGCACTCTGATTGGCCGGTGCCAATGAAGCAACCAATCAGAGGCCTTAGTACGAGTTTCATTTACGTTTAAAGTATTCGAAACGAGTACGCGTTCGGCGCTCTGATTGGTTGTTTCATTGGCGCCGGCCAATCTGAGGCCTTAGTACGAGTTTGTTTTACGCTTAAAGTATTCGAAACGAGTACGCGTTCGGCACTCACCAAAAACCAAAACTCTAAACCAACCAATCAGTGCGCCGAATGCGTACTCGTTACGATTACTTTAAACGTAAAACAAACTCGTACTAAGGCCTCAGAGCGCCGAACGCGTACTCGTTTTGAATACTTTAAACGTAAATCAAATTCATACTAAGGCCTCAGAGCGCCGAACGCGTACTCGTTACGATTACTTTAAACGTAAAAGAAACTCGTACTAAGGCGTCTGGTGTTCTCGGGAGAAGTCTCAGTCTCTATGTTCCTATCTCCAGTTTGTGATTATCTTGCTTGACTAGGTGAAGTACGCCCATGTTATGGAACGTCCTTTAAAAAATCCCGAATATAAGAAAACTACCACCCATATTAGTATACATCGGCCATTCATGGCGATCCGTAAAATAGATGCGAACTGGTGAGTGACTTCCCTTAGGTACATCACCTAGTAAGACAAGGTAAATGCAAACTGGAGATAGGAATTAAAACTTCTCCCGACTTCTTAACACCGGGTTCTGACTATTATTTAGATTTTTTATAATTTATTTTCGATAGTTAATGGTTTCTATGGATCAGGTACTACCCTACCATTAAACACTAGAATTTGATAAGGGTCTGGAGTCGACCTGATGATGGAGCCAATAGGCAGTCGAGGGAACGCTTCAATGGTATACAGTAACTACCTACCTCGTGTTTGGGCTTGAATAATTTGGATTGATTAGAACGTTGTACCCATGTGAATTATATAAGAAGGCAAAACGGGTATATACCTCTATAGCTTTAGGTACCTACACTAAAAACTATAAACTTAAAAAACTGACTTCACAAAACCATAACTAACAAATAAAAAGCAAAAAACAACTATTAGTAGTACTGATAGGTTTACCTACTTCTAACCTAGGCACCGACTTCTAACCCATCAGTGGGGTA